CTCGTGTTCCGCATCCGGCGTTCGATCATCAGCCGGCCGCCGGGCCGCTGAGACGTCCGATCGATCTCGATGCCCCCTGTCTGCCGCGCGTGTGTGCGGTCCGCGTCTCGTTTGTCCGCCGCAAGCCGCTGAGAGCCAACCCGTTTTTGCCGCAGTGGTCACGTGATTACTGGTGCTCACGACCGGCGCGCCTTTTTGATTCACGCGCGCTGCAGCGGTGCGCGCAAAAAGGCGGGCGCCTAACGCGCGCCGGGCCTCGGTAACAAGCGGCGCGCCGAAAAACGTCCGCGCACCGTGCCCGGTGAAAGGGTGCTGACCACGACGGTCGGACGCGGGGCGCCAGCGGGCCGCCGTGGTCGACCCGCCGCCGACTGTGTTTGTGAAGGCTGGTTCGTGGCAGCGGTCTGAGCCTCAATGACGCCAGCTTATTGACCCAGCCAGCCAGCTTGTCGCTGGGTCGGGCCGGCCTCTTCACCGCTGAGTGGTGGCTGCCCCTGGGTGTCGTGTCTGCCCCGTCCGTGTGGGAGGAGCCGCTGGGTGGGCGGCTCGGAGGCTGGCTAACTTATTAGCGTGTAGGAGACGTGCGTGACGCGGCGTGTGGGAGACGGCGCGCGCCGCGGGGACTGCTCGCGCCAGCGAGTTCGGCGGGCGGCGGACCCGGCGCGCGCGCGGCAGAAGCGCCGGCCTCGACGCGCGCGCCGCCGCCGGCACCCGGCGGCGGGAGAAGCCGACCTACTGCGCCTCTCCCCGCTGGCGCGCGCAACAACGTACCGAGAATCCCGGACACTTTCCAAACCGATTCAGCTCCGCGCCGTACACATGCAATAAACATGAGGTAGATGCAGGCGTTGCATTATACATGCTACCGTAATGGAGATGCCAGCTGGCAGTGAATCAACCAGGTTTTTACGATGCGCACTGCTGCCGCTTCAGCGTCGCGCTACATCCGCCGGTCTTGTGCTGCGGTGACCGCACGTGGATCTCGTTGCTCCACACTTGCCCCACGCGGTGCGTCACACTGGCAGCTCACGTGACGGGCGGCGGTCACGCGGGGACGATTGTCTTACAGCGGCAGCGGCCACGTGACGCGCGGCGGCCGCCGCCGTCTCTGTCGTCAGACGACGGGCCGGACCGTTCCCGGGCGAGTGCAGCGCCGTCCCCGCGGCCGGGGCCGGACCCTGAGAGCGGGAGACCGGTGCCGGTCCTAGTCCCAGGCGACCCGCCGTCGGCGCGGGTCAAGTTGCAGCCATAGGTTCACGTTTCCGTGTGACCGCCGGGAGCGGCGGCGTGCGGGCCGCGCCGGGCCTGCCTGCCTCGTTAAAGCCGCTTCCACGCGGGCCGCCGCGTCGACCGAAGCAGGCGGCCGTTAACGCGGCGGGCGCGATACCATTTCCATTCAGATGGGCGGGCTTGTTTGGCCAGGCTAGCGCGCGCGGCAGCCGCCGCCGTCTCGGCCTGTCCCACTTCGCCTCCTCCGGTGTCATGACCTCCTCCGCCCCCGTCGCCGTCACGCTCTGCGTCGCTGCTGTCCCCGTAACGGACGCCCTCGCGGCGGCGTCTCGGCGGCCTCCTGCGCGGCCCGGCCTCTGTCGCCCGTCCGGACCGTCCTCCGTGACCCCTGACCTTTGACCTGAGAGCGGCCAGGCGGCGCGGTGTCTGCCACCGCGCCTGGCCGCGACTCCATTCATGCCGCTGCCAAGATGGCAACGCGCGCCGCCAGCGCAAACAGGCCGGCTGGCCGCCGCGCCCCAAACCGGTCTGTGTTTGCTCACTACCGCCCCCGGCAGCGGCTAGTGAAACCCAGCCTCGGGCGTGGACAGCGCCGTGGACCGCGTGGACGGTGTGGACATGCGGCCAGACGGCGGCGCCCGCGGGGCGGGCGGTTTCTCCCTGCCAAACCGGTCCTGGCGGCGTTCAGCGAATGTGCTGCGGCGAGGTGTCCAGGGCGAAGGGTCGCCAGGTACCGCGAACGAACCGGGAAAGTGTTTACTGTCGTGCTTAGAGCTTCGGCGAAGACGATGGCATGGGTTGTGTGGTCAGAGTGGGTGTGTCCCAGGCGGGATAAGGCGGAGGTGTGAACGAGGCGCTTCGCCACAAAGCCGTGCTGCAAATTCTTTGTACGAAATCCGCCCACGGGTCGTGAGTCTGAACCATGTGTGCGAAGTATCGGGCCAGTGGGCGCCGTGTCTCCTTTCTTTGTTATCCAGCGGGAGACATTTTTCAGAAGCCGTTTTTTGCGACCGTCTATTTTATCTGGAGTGCGGCCTCCGACAACGAATTCCTTGGCACCCACGCTCTTTAGCGGCGTAGCGATCGCCACCCGCGTAAAATTTGAACAGGTGATTAAAACAAACACAAATTTCCCCGGACATCCCTCACAAGCAGCCAGCGAAATTAGCATTCGTGTCATAATACGATAACGGATGGAAATTGGACCAGACGTTCACCGTTAGAGGGCGCGTCGGCCGCTTCCGTTGGAGATCTGCGTAGTCCCGAACTCCACGGGCAGTCCAGTGGGGGATGTCATTACAGTCGTACTCGTGGAAAGCGAGCTGCCGTGCCCGATGGTGTGTGGGGGCGGGGGAGGGGAGGCATTGAGAGGGGTTAGCCGGCCGCGTCACTTCCGCCAGACGTGTCGGCGCGCCCTACCGTGCTCGAACGGAGGTGTCTGCCGCGAGGTGCCACACCCGCCGCCACGCGCCGGGCGGCGCCACCTCGAAAGTGGTACACCGCTGATAGTGTTCTTATCAGCGGCGGGTGGCCTGGAACGCCAGGCCGGCGGCAAGGTGCTAATGAGTGAGGAGGCCGCGAGTGGAGGGGCGGGGCGGTGTCACCCGCCGGTGGCCGCCTCCAGTTGTCGACGGCGTTTCAGTCACCTGGCTGGTCGAATCGCCAGGTAACTGAAATCAGGCTCGAAACTGGTCGTCCACGTCATGCATTCTGTGCAAATTGAGACGGACGGTGACAGGTCAAAAGAGCTCAAGTGGGCCGTACATCGCACTTGACGCATCCAGCCCGTTTTAAACGAGTCTCTTTGAGATTCGAATAGATCCTGATGGGTGCAAGTAACGGCAGCTGACGGAACGCGCCTGGGAAGACCTGGCACATTTCTCCCGAGTCCAATCGCGCCCGTCTGGCGAAATCGGCCGCGGCGCGCTCCGAACGAGTCGTCCCGGCACGGCCCGCTCCAGCCGTCGGTCTGCCGCGCGCGCGACGCCCGGGAGTCTCGTTAGCGCCTTATTCAACGCGGCCAGATGGCGCTGTCGCCAGACAGCTTCCGGATGGACCGGGCGCGCCGAAAAAAGCGCGCGCTACAGTAACTGTAGCAGTGTCCGAGCGCGGCGGCGCGTCGCCGTCCGCCGGCGCGCCGGGCTCGCCGCTGTTGACCGGCGCGAGCGGCCGGCCGGGCCTCGGCGGCGCCGACAATGGGCCCCGATAAGCCCACTGGCCTCCTGAGCGGCCCGATCACAACAGATGCGCCGCCGTCAGCGCGTAAATGGCGCCAATCAGGGCGGCGGCCGGCGGCGGCGGCCGGCCTGGCGGTAGCGGAGCGGCGCGGCCGGCTCGCTCGGCTTCCGCGCGCCATGGCCGCGGGGCCCGCCCCGCCAGGGCCGCTCTGGCCGGCTCCCGCCAACGTCAGGGCCGCTGCACAGCCGACAGCGAGCTCCCCGGCGACCCGACGCCGCGGCCGCCGCCGCGCCACGAACGCCGCACGACGACCGTCGCGCAGATCAAGCCGTGGTCACGTGGCCCGTCGTCTCAAACCGGCGCGTAAACACCGTGCAAAAACCGACCCGTCGCCCGACTACCTGAATCACCAGCCTTCGCTCGCTCTCGTGCCGTTAGCCGAGGTTAGTGGAGAGCGCGGTGGCCCGGCTGACACGGAGCGCCGCTTTCAGCGCGTGTTTCGCACGGGCGTGAATGTGCGCGCTCGGCGGTTTGCGGCGGCCTGAGCGGCGCTGCGCCGTGTTCCACAGCCTAGTCGATTTGTCTCCGGCCGGCGAGCTGACAACGGGGCAGCGTCGGTCACGCCGGGCGGCGAGCAGCCGAGGTCAGCCGACCCCTGCTGCAGCGGCGGCACTGCGCCGCAGCTGAGCTGGAGCTCGCTGAAGAGCCTGCGGCCACCGAGCCGTGCTGCCGAGCTTCAGAGCTCCGCCGAGGACCCTCAGGCGCCGCGGCGCGGACGGGCTGGGGATGGAGCGGCGGCGTCGGGCGGCACTCCGACACCGCGACGGACCTCGGGTCTGGTGGTGACAGCACTCCGCTGTTAAGAGGCCGTCGAATTCCCGAGGACTTTCGGTTGGGTTACGGATGAAGACGGGGAGCGCCAAGTGGGAAGATGACACCGCCGTCTATGTGCAGGAATGCGGCATGTCTTGGCCAGGGACGAGACGAGGCGGCTGCGACCGCCCGGCGCTGTCGCAGATCTATGATCACCCATAAACACGCTGGTCACGTGAATGCATGGCTAATAAATCCACGATGAGAAACTCACGGCTTACACTGGGCCGTTCCAGCAGTGAATACGCCTACGAAAAACTAGCTGGGAGAATATTAACACATAAGCTGTTTTGAAACGGTGGTAGTTAGCGTGATGAGTGCGTCTGCCCGATGGGTTTTAAATCCTGCTAATCGGCCGTTCTTTTCCCATGCGTGACACGTTATCAAACCCGGCCCGACCCCAGCTGTTTGCTGTTTCAGATGAGCGCGACATGCTGCTGTTTTCCGGCAACACGTCGCACAGCGACCACTTCAAGCTGCTGGAGAAGGACGGCAACTCTCTTCTCATCGGCGCCAGGTGAGGCCGAACGTCGCTGCCAAACGGTGCCATGGGCATTTCAAGGAGAGGCGCCGGAGTCCGAGCTGCGGCCGTGACTCCCCAGATCTCGCTATCGCTGCGATTGTTCGACGGGTCCTACATGCAAAAGGCACTCCTTGACTGCATCAAGGACTGGGATTTTTCTAATTCAGCTATCTATCCGATTATCTTTGGCTCGCGACATGCACCGCGTTGCAAGCGGTTGTCATAGCAACGGGGGAGTTGTGCGCGGTGCTTGGGCCGTGCGCTGGCTCCTCGTCGTCGCCTGCCCGGCGCGGCCCGGCCCCGCTCCGGTGACCCGTGGGCCCGATGACCGGGCGCCGCTTTGTGAGCCGCTCCCACGACGTGGTCAGGCCGTGACACAGTCGGTCCGGGGGACAAAGGTGACGGCGCTGACCGTACGGCGATTGGCCGGCGGCTCCCACGGCTGCCCGGAATGGTCACAAACCGGGACCTCGAACGGTTCTCGAAATGGCCAACGCAGGAGTCTTCGAAATGGGCTTTAGAAGTCTCATCTGAGTGGCCCTCAGAACGCTCTTTGGGAACCGTCTTGCGAAGCGGCGCTGCCAGCCGCCCCCGTGCGGCGCTGGGGGCGGGACCTCCTGCGGTCCGTCCCGCGGTCCGGCCCGCGGGCGGGGTGTGGCCTGCTTATCTCGGGTCGCGCCTCCGGAGCACGTACCGCACGCGGCCCGCGCGCGGGGTGCCGCATTTCACGGCCGTGGCGGTTGGCGCGACGCGTGACACCAGAAAGCGTTGGCGATTTGTCCGGCGTGACGGTCGCGGTCGTAAAACGGGTCGGATTGCCGGCGGCGGCGGCAAAGCCGCGTCGTTCTCGACGTTCCCACGCGGGTGTCGGTGCCAGGGCGGCCGACGTTCGGCGGCCGGCCAACGTCGTCGGCGCCGACAGCCGGCGGCAGACTAAACACGGACCGCACGACTGTTGGTGCCGGAGGCGTCACGGCGGCCGCCTCCTCCCCACTCTGGGGGACGCCTCGGCGCGGCGGCGGGCGCGGCGCTGCCGGTGGCGGCGTGGAGCTGCGCGGACGCTGATTCGTTGCCGGCAGCGATCGCGGCATGGAGTGGCCAGCGTAGACCGCGGACCGGCCGTCCGCCCAGCTTGCTTCTGGCGTGGGCGGCCGACGCTGCCGTTGGACCGTCATTGCTGCGGTCGCCGGCGTCAGTCCGCTCTCCTCCAGACTCGTGTCAGGGAGGAACGGAGCCGTGTGTCCACCTGCAGGTCCGGTCTGACGTTCAGCAGTCTGCTCGAGGCTCTCGGCGCGCCGCCCTCGGTAGCAGAATGCGTTGCGCCCCACTTCATCGGCGCCCGCTGTCACGGCCGAGTTCGTGGCCGGCTTCAGCGGCTGCGAACGCGACACGGCTTGTCAGTGGCCGGGCCACATGTCGCCGGCTCGGCCGATAGGCTGGCTGAACTGCTGACTGCTCGCTGTCAGCCAGCGCCGGACTGGGAAACAGCCCGGCGATGCTCGTCTCTGAATTTGACAGCGGCACGCCGCAAAAACGACGCCACTTGGAACCGCTCCACACCGAGCAACTCCAGCGCTTATGCTGAGTCGGCTGTCGTAAAGCCTGAGGCCATCTGGTATTTGACAGTTCAGTGACCAAACAACTCTCCGCTACGGCCACTTAGCAACCAGCGAACGTTTCTCGACAGTCGCTCAGTGGCCAGCCCGCCACTGCCTCCGGCTGACCCCTCCAGGTGAGCCGGAGTGGGGTCGGCCGCGCGCCGCGCCGGACCAGTTCTTGCGCCAGCTCGGCCGCGTCGCGACCGGCCGACTAACGAGTCGACAGAGACGTCGACTGCCGGCGGCGCCCGCTGACTGACGGGCCGTCGGCGGCCGGCATTGTCCGCGATTGAGCTGTGGTGCAGCGGCGCGCGTGCGCCGGCCGGTCGGCGACACGTGAGGGCCCGGCGCAGGGGCGCGGTCGGGCCCGCCGCCGTCCACGTGAGCCGCCGGACCCGACCGGCGCCGGCTGCGCAACACCGGCCGGCTTACGGAGACGAAGGGCCACACCACGACAGAGGCGAAGGCTGGTGCCGTCTGGAAATGAGCGCGTAGTCCGCGGCCGGGGGAGCGTCCGTGTCGCGGCCGGGGCTGGCGGCGCGGCTCGTGCGACACCGCACCGTGCCGGGCTGGGACAAAAGCGGAGGCTAATGGCACGCCGCAGCCGTTATGGGCCGTAATGGTCACTAACCACCGGCTGGCCGGCCGTAAAGGCATCGGACCGCCTCCCAAAGTGTCAATGCTAATCCGTAATGCGCCCCAGGTAGCGGTCCCAAGACACGAGGATGGCATGTGGGCGCCGGCAGAGGCCTGCCTTTGAAGCCACGGTGGGTCGGCAGACGTTCGCGAGATTTTCTTTTGGGCCGGAACGGCACACTATGCGAGGCTCGTGGGAGAGGCTGGCTAGTGTTTGTATGCTGTGGTCGGGCTGACCAGCGTTTACTAATCACATTCTGGGGTGTTGGTACCTCTAACGGCCGGTGGCGTTTGCAGCCGATGTCTAACATGCGCTTCAACAGCACTGGCAGCGGTCTCTGCCAAAACACAACCCCCGACTGGTGCAGACCTAACCCGCCGTGTCGCCCGTTGCAGGAACATCGTGTTCAACCTCAGCCTGACAGACTTCACGGAGCACCGACAGGAGCGTCTCGAGTGGTACTCTGCCGACCAGGACGTCCGGCTCTGCAACATGAAGGGCTTAAGCGAGGTGGGAGCCGCCGCGGCCGCCGGACGCCGCCCGGTGGCGCTCTGACGCAATCTCTCCCACGCGCGCGCGCACGCTCCTCACCTCAGCGGAGCGCGGCCCAAGCTTCCCGCGATCGCTTTCTTTGCACAACCGGCGCGCTATCGCCTCGATAGTGCGTGTAAGCCGGCTGGCAGCGGTCCGACCGGCGGCCACGCAATCCCGGCCGACCACAGGCGGCTCCGACGCCCGACGGCGCTGCGCTAACGCAACGCCGTCGACGCCGGACGCCGGCCGCGCGTGGGACCGAGCCGGCGGCGCGCCGCCCACCCGCGCCCCGGGACCGGGGCGTGGCTAAACGGCGCCGTGAATCAAACGGCCGCACTGCGGTTCAGCCGTGGCATGTTTGTGTTTGCGTGGTGTGTCTATCATGTGGCGAGTGGGCTGTGTGCGGGCTGCGCCGAGATGCGCTCGTTCAGCCAGTGCTCTCGCGTGGGCTGGTCTGCCGCTCTCGCGACCTGCTCAGCCCTCGGCCGAGGGGTCAACCGCGCTGGTCTGGTGCTGTCCCCGACAGCAGGCGGCCGGCTCGAACTGTGCCGTTCCGGACACGGCTGGGCGCGACCCTCCGAGAGGAAACCCGGCCCGGCCGCGCACGACTTACGAGCCCCTCTTATTGCCTGGATCGAGGTTTAACGAGCTGATATTTCCCGGCGAATGGTCGCGCCCGCTCGGCTGCCGCGTTAATCACGAGGTCGGCTCGAAGCGGTGCGCCGTCTGTTTGTTATTTCACGACCGACTCGATCGGGCTGGCACACGCCTCGCTCAGAGCACTATCTGCCGGCGGCGCTTGGGCTAGCCCCAATCGCGCCTTTTTTAACGCGCGCCCGGGCGGCCGGTTGAACACCATGCACCCTGCTGGAGGTCAATTTGACTTCCGCTGAGATCTGAAAAACTGAGATAGCTAGAAATACTTAAGTCTCAGGGTATGTTGGCCTGTATTGGAATCACTTGTGTGACAATCTGAGGTTCCCAGGTCATTTGTCCTTGGGGTCAAATAACGTCAAACGAGGTAAAACTCCAGATTGGTGTCCAACGTGCTCCCAGACCTCATGCAACCACCGTGAACCTAAACACCCGTTCTAAGCAAAATATCAGTGGTGGTCATTTAAGTTCAGTCATCTTGTCTGACATTTAGAATGTCAAGGTTACAAAAACCTACGAGATTGTGATGATTTTACCATTTCGTAATTTCTCAAGAACAAAAAGTTGACTGGGGGGGTCATCGAAGGTTAGTGACCTCTTGATCTTTAAAACGGCTATGAAACATTTCTGTTGAGGTTTCTGTCTTAAATGAATCCAACACGAGCACGAGAAACTGCTCCTACTAAGAAAGCTCTCGATTAAAAAAGCAGGTTAGTTTTGTACTCGGCCTGACCATCATAGTTAACCATAGGTCAGTTCGATTTTTTGATTTTAGATTAAGCTGTTTTATTGCCTAAGAAATTTTGCCAGAGATGTGTGTCTTCGTTTAATGCTGTTGCCGCATGAGATTGAATGATTCCCGAGAAACGGCCGTCGCTGATAGCCATGGCCTAACTTTGACCTGCCGTAGGTCAGCGACTCTGCAAGGTACATTTAATTGCGCGTACCAAAAGATCCGCTATTAAATGTCCTACAGCCATCCAACGTTTGGTGCGGCTGCACCGCGCCGTTCAGAAATCATTCTGAAAAACACTTCTGGGGTCAAATTGACCCTACCCCCACCGGAACACGCGTTTAGCCTCGACAACTTACTTTGTACGACGTACATGTACGCGGGCCCGCTGCATGCACAAGCAGCGTCATGTCAGTCCGGTGCCCGAGGACGCGGCAAAATCCCATCACGCTGCCTTCCAGGCCGCCGCCGGGTGATTAGGATGCGGCCCGGCCGCGTCTCATGAATGCGTGTCTCGCTCGACGCCAGACGCGTGATTAGATCCGGCGGTGGGACGGTCGCCCTCACCTGGGCGCGCGGCGTCCGCCCCCGCCGCTGCCGACCGCCCGACGACCGCTTTGTTTACCGTGGCGGACGAGCTGTCTGCGCCAAGGCCAGCGGCAATCGCCAGGCAAACGGCGTGCGGCGACGGGCTCAAAACGTGCCCGGCCTGTTTGAATAGCCGCCTCCTGCGCGCCTCGGGTCCACTCCAATCAGGCGGACGCCGCCCTCCTCTGCGTGTGGCGCCTGCCAGACTCAGAACCGGGCACAGACCCAGACCCAGACCCAGGTCCAGGCCCAGGTCCAGGCACAGGCACAGGCACGGGCCCAGGCACAGGCTCAGGCCCAGGCACAGACCCAGACCCAGGTCCAGGTCCAGACCCAGGCCCAGGCACAGGCCCATGCTCAGGCCCAGACCCAGACCCAGACCTAGACCCAGACCCAGACCTAGACCCAGACCCAGACCCAGGCCCAGGTCCAGGTCCAGGCACAGGCACAGGCACAGGCACAGGCACAGGCACAGGCACAGGCACAGGCACAGGCACAGACCCAGACCCAGACCCAGGCCCAGGTCCAGGTCCAGGCACAGGCACAGGCACAGGCACGGGCACAGGCCCAGGCACAGACCCAGACCCAGGTCCAGGCCCAGGCACAGGCCCATGCTCAGGCCCAGACCCAGACCCAGACCTAGACCCAGACCCAGGACCTAGACCCAGACCCAGACCCAGGGCCGGCTTATGCTCGAGGTCAGGCAATATTCGGGCTGAACCTAGGTCCAGGCCCGACCTCAAGTCAAATGGAATCAGAGTCAAATCGGACCCAGGTTTGACACAGGCCCGACCCAGCTTCCTTGCGTGGGCCAGGCCACGCAGCTCAGGCCCACAGGATTGCGCTGAGTACAGTCCATGCTCTGTTCAACTTCCAAACATATCTGCGGCACATATGCCGCAAAGTGCATGACGCGGGGTCTTACACAGCCACATCACAAACTTTGCTCATTCCATTGCACACCATTCTCGTGGCGCCCTTCGCCTCCAGATCCAGCTGACATGCTTTATTTCCGTCCAGTTCGTGATGAGTCCCCCTCTCGACATTGGCATTTAAGCTGGCCTATGGTTTATTGTCGGGTAAATCGGAGTTCGGTGCACAGTCTCTCGTGGAACGTATGCGGCGACTTGGCCGCGATCGTACAGTCCAATCACACCGATGATCTGGCCCACAGGAGGCGTGCCACAACTACGTGCGCGTGCTGGCCAAGAAGGAGGACGGCCAGCTGTTCGTGTGCGGCACCAACTCCTACAACCCCAAGTGTCGCAGCTACAGGAAGAAGCCGGTAAGTGGACGCGCCGCTGCTGCGCGGTCGGCTGGTTTGCCTTCCTGCGACAGTGCGTGCCGACCTCGACCGGGCCCCGGCGGCCTGCTGCAAACCGCGAACTGCTTGTCATCGGTGCCTACAGCATGGTGTCTCTCTCTCTCTCCGTCTCTGTCTCTGACGTCATGCGGGCCCCTCTTCTGCTACCTCGACCCCTGTCCGTTCTCATCTATTTGTATTTTCCTTGCCTCTCATCATTCCCCTGCCTATTCCCGGATCGATCTTTCTCACTCCTCTTCCTTGCTCTTGTTTTCTCACTTCGCGTCCTTCCCCGCTCACCCCTGCTCCTCCCTCTCGCCGCGCCATCAGTCCACAGCCGTCGTCGCGCCTCAGGCGTCCGTGTGCCCGGCGTGCTGGACGTCCGCCAGACCCGGCGGGGCCCGATCCGTCACGTTCGACGCGCGGCTCGGCCGCGACCGCCCTCCTCCCCCCGCCCCCTCTGACGCAGACCATCGACAGCGCCACAAAAAGCCGGCAGATAAAAACACCGGCGGCGGCGCGGCAAAAAGCCGCCGGGCGGTTGAACCGGCCGGCCACGGCGTCAGCGCTGATGACAGCTGGACCACACGTCAGCGCTGTCACAACCGGGCTGACCTGCGTCGGCTCGGAGGGCGACTGATCGGGCACAGCGTCAGCGCTGATGATCACTGGCAATGTGGAAAGCTGGCGCAGACTTGGCAGGGCCGACCAGGGTGATGACGTGGTCCAAGGGCAACAGACACGTCAACAAATAAGGCTCTCGGATAACAATGGGGAAACTAATGCGGCTAAAAGTCTGGTTTGCATCCCGCCGAGCTCCATGGAAATCCGTCCGCCATTTGTGGGTGCTGCACTTCCTGTCCATTCTGCAGCCCCCCGGTGGAATGAGGGCCGTATTGACCCGGCCGCTGGAATGTCCCGGACTTCCTGTGGGCGGCACCGCGCCGCCAAACTCGACGATCGCCGCGCTGTCAAATCGCTATTTGTCCGGGAGAGTGCAGACAAAGCGCCGGCCGGGGCGTGTTTATTCGGCCGCATTTTCCGACCTGTCGCGACAGCCAGGCGCTCTCGGCTCTGCCGACGCTAACGGTAACCCAATCGGAGAGGCGTTATATTGGGTCGCCACGGCGACTCGCCCCCCCCCCCCCCACGCCCGTCCCCCTCTCCTCTCCGTCCCCATCGCGTCCTGTCCGTCAGATCCGCGCGGCCTGCCTCGCCTCTGATGTCTGAGAATGCCACGTTCTTCCCGCCAGACAGGCTCCGGCGGAATCCGTCAGGTCTGCCGGCGGAATCCGCAGGGAAGTGACCGCTGCCCCTGTTGCAGGGCCTGGGGTACGTGCCGGACGGGAAGGAGGTGGACGGCAAGGGCATCTGCCCGTACGACCCGAATCACAACAGCACGGTGGCATTCGTCGGTGAGTGACGCCGCCTATTGCACGTCCGGAGCGTCCCGGCTGTCCCTGTCGCGGCCTGGCCGCCCGACGCCGATGAATGTCATATTAGAAAAGTTCGCCGCCAGAGCGCTTTCCGCATGACCCGTCACCTAGACGGCGGACGAACTTGGCGCTTCGGGTGTAGCAGCTGTCCGAGTTGATCACGATAGGGGTGCGTCGCAGTCGGGGCCGGCTGGCAGAGCGTAGGACGGCTGCAGACGGAGAGCGGCGTGGCGAGGGAGCTGTTTTGCCACTGGAAATGAGCCCACTTGTGTGCGTGTGGGCTGGGCTCCGGCTCCCGGCCGCCGGCAGAACAGGCGCAGCCCGCGCCAACTGTGATTAATGGGCCTATAACGCGACCGACGCTCCGTGCTGCGCTCAGACCGACAACGGCTGGTGAGATAGTGGGCCAAGAAAAATTGTCAATTTGTGCAAATTTATGATCAATTCACGCTAACTGTCTCCCCGAGGACGGCGTGAGGCAAGGGTGTGGCTGTCTATTGAGTTTGACGGGTGAATCTGAAAACTGCTGAACAATGAGATGGTTCAGCGGGAGGAAGTCGTGCAGCCTTCTAAGAGCGGCGGTTTTCTTCGCTGTGCTGCTGGTGGACGTCTGCAGCTGCTGAGGGGTGCTGCGGAGGGCTCAACGTGGATTCCCCGCCCATTTAATATCCGGGAAGTGTGAGCGTTACTCTCGGGCACCCGCTGATCCCTAATCGAGCAGCCGTCCAAGAAACACAATTTAGCTTTTACCGGACGGCCCTTGCTGTGGCCGAACGCGGCGGCCTGCGGGTCAACGCCCTGGCTCGGCGCAATCAAGTCGCACGCAGCCGTGGCTTCAGCAGCCGCCTCGCCCCCTGCCCTGCCGTGCCGCCAGGCGACAGGTTAACCGCTGAGCCGCCAAACCGACGCGGCGCCGTGTTTTTACGGCGCGGGCGGCGTGCAGCGGCGCTCGGCGCGCCCGGCACACCCCGGCGCACGTCCGCCGCTGTCAGTCAGCTGACTCGGGTGTGACGCCCGGCTGCGTGTGTTTCAGGTGGTCAGCTGTACGCGGGCACGGTGGCCGACTTCGCCGGCTCGGACCCGCTCATCTACCGGCACCCGCTGCGCACCGAACAGTACGAGCTCAAGCAGCTGAACGGTAAGTGGCGGTGGACGGAGCTGTATTGACGAGGCATGGCTAGCGGTCGGCGGTGGCGCGGGGGCGGCGGGTCACGCCTGGGTCGGCTGGGGATCACGCATACTTGCCGTTCAGCAGGATGGCCTGGTATCGCGCCGCGCACGTGGTGCACAGTCGGCACTTGGAGCCCTTGTCGTGGTCGTCCAGCGAGTGGATGTGCTTGGAACCGCGGCGCGAGCCGCCCACTGATCGTGACCGGCTGCGGGGGCGGCCCCTGGCGGCGGGCGACTTCTTGAGAATCGGCTTCTGGCGAGATCTGGGCTTCCGCTGGCACTCCGGCTCAGCTCGAACGTCGGTGGGCATGCTGCTGTCGTCTGACTCGTATCCGACGCTGCTCACTGCCGGAGATTCGTCGCAATGCGCGTCGGTTTGGAGTCTTGATTGCGAATTGAAGTCTTCGGACGTTGATGAACGTTTGCGCCGTTTTCCCTTCCTTTCTCGCTTTTTGTGGTAATTCACGTCATTTGCCGCACATGATGTTGCGCATTTATCCGATTGTTCGCTGCTTGCATCAGAATCTTCCAAACTTCTCTCGTCATCACTTTCATATTCTACCTTTGGCTTCATCCTCACCTGTTTTCGTGGAGTTTTTTCGACGCTAGGATCACTTTTTCGGTTGGCTTTTGAACATGTGTCTCGATTTTTTACTCTAGATCTCGACCTTCTTCGTGGTGTTGATGGAGCCGGACATGAAGTGTCAGCGTCGGTAATTTGCTGCTCCGTCATGTCATGTTTTGGACATGGAGTGCCAAAAAGGTTCCTCCATGCACTCATCATCGCTATAAATTTAACTGAATGAGATAATGTTTATGTCATCATGACCCACGCCTTCGAAAAAAATAGTTAAAATGGCAGCTCCAGTAGTCTTTTAACTCATCTCGTGATGAATATTATTCGGATCTCCCTGGAATGTTGTGAAAGTGAGATTGTGCTCCCTTTTAGTGTTTATTTCATATTTTCTAACCTGATGTAAAAGATGATTTTATTCTGGGCAATGTAAATCAAAAACGTTTAGGTCATTCACCGTTGTTTTATATCCTGCTTCTGAGTCCAGTCAAATGTTTTGATCTGTTATTCGGCCCCGTGATGGCTTAAATCACAGAAGTAGGCATCACGCTTTAATGCTTGTGGTGATGTCTCTGCAAATTTTTTTCGCTAAATCTAACTCATGTGGAATACCCTGTTCCTTACCACCCCAGTTGTCTCTGTTGACGCTAGCATTTATATCAGCCACACATTTGAAACTCTCAGGTCGGTTAATCAGAAGCATTGTGAACAACGCGCTCTTCCCGGTCACATGGTTCTCTTTATTCAAAACAGGCCGACAAATTATGAAACGCCATTCATCGTCTCCTGCGTCAAAGGTTCCGACTGCCGCCACGTGATCACGCTCGACCCCTGCTCTGTCGTCCAGTCACGACACGCTCGGGCGCCGCAAACACGACGAACCGGCCGTACGCGACGCAGCCCAAAAAGCCACGCGGCCCGTAGTGGCCGCCCGCGCTCGCCCACTTAGTATGCGGACCCGGTAGCACCGGAGAGAGTGGCCGCTAGTGGACAGAGTCTAACGGTCCGGCCGGACCAGATGGGACTGTCGGAGGCGCGGGCTGGAACCGACTTGGCCAGCGAGGTCGGACTTGGGTCGGCTCCTGCTCTCAGAGCAGCGTGCGGCATAGATAATTGCCTGCGAGACGGTTCGGACTGGTCGAAGGAAGGGTTTCTGGGTCTGTCTAACCCGTAGACTGGTATTCAGGGGAGAGATTGCTAACTGGGGCGCTTTCTCCTTAGAGAGCTTACTGGAATCGCTGGCATTACTCGTGTCGCATGAATGACGTCTGTAGTTAGCCCGACTGCAAGTAACTGTTTTCAAGGATATTTAATATTTGTCCTTGAACGCTGTCCGACCATGGAGTGTGAGACACTATCCGTGTGCGGGCCGGCCGTGGCCCCCCACTCCCCCCCCCCCTAGCCCCGGGGTATCGGGCGACGTGCCTCCGCCGGCAGCACGGCCGCGCGGTCACGTGACCTGTGGCGTGCCGGTGTGTCTGGCACGGCGCCAGCGGAGGCACGTGAGCGGGTCTGAGCGGTGTCGGAGGTCCGACACCTGAGCCCCGCGCGATAAACACGGCCAGGGTGACCCGACCTCCGCCCCCGTGCCCCAGGCCTATCTGACGCGCCCTTCGGCCTGGGGTTGTCACACCGGTACGACGCCGCCCTGTCGCATCGCGCGGTCCCCAGCCCTCCCCCACGGCCGCCGGCCGGCTGCCCTGCCGCGGTCGCTCGGAACCCGATGATTTATAACGGTCCGCGTTTAACAAGTGTCTTATCTCGGGCATACATCAGCTGCGCTCGATTGCCGTTTCTCAGGTACACAATAGGTTTTTGTGCGGCCGGGACGAGTCGGTGGCCCGAGGCGAACGTTCCAGTGCCGACCCGCTATTAATTGATTTCTATCGGGTGACCGGGCTCCATTTTGTTCCGCATGTGGGCTCCCGGTAGCGGCGAGGAAGTGAGATGGCCGGACGGCGCTCCAAACCGGTATTCTGACCTGCACCAGCCACAAGAGCGTCGTCTCTCTGAGCAAAGAGCCCCTTAGCTCCCATCCATCAGAGCACTTACAGACAATTTCTGCTCCCGGCAATAAAAGTTCCTTTTTACTTATCGCTTTTACTCCCCATCATTACGCTGTTCACGATGCATTCTTCCTTTTTACACGTGGCCATGCCGGTCAGCTATTGATAGTAATTACTCCGCTTCAAAGCGGTCTGCTCCACCTATCCCAGTGTCGGTGGCCGGCCGGCTCAGCACCGCGTACTGTGGCCCGGTACCGTGCTTTTGTCCACCGGACGCGCTCTGGTGGGGTGGTGTCGGCGCCGGTCGGCGACCGGCTCCGATGCTCTGACCCCGTGCCCTCTCAGGGCCATGGCATGCGCCGCGGCTGCCGCACGTGCCGCCGGCAGGGAGGGGGAGGGGCGAGCCCCATCATCGGCGGACTCGGGTGTTGGTGTTGGCGGCGGCAGTCTGCTATTGACGCAGGCGGGCTGTCTGGCCTTCAGATTCGATCCTCTGACCCACCCATCGCAACGGCGCTCGGGCACGCTGGCGTGGAGTCCCGCCCCTGCCAGCTCGTCGGCGTTCGGCATAACTTGGCACCATGATCCCGGAGAGCCTGTTTCGTCTCCAGTCAGACTTTTGTTCAACAGCGGTCGATCATGTCGTGCCTGTCATGAGTCTGCTCGTTTCCTCGTCCTTTGATCTATATTTCGAAGCTTGTGCACGCTTCTGGGCATTTCGCACGACCAACTGCCCGATGGCTACGATTCCCCCGGCAACTTCCATCCACCAGAACCATATTGTCCTCGTCAACCGAGTGCCCAGCCAGTCTCGCCCTCCCACGGTCTGACCGGCAGCTTTTCACACGCCGTCACCCGCGAAAGGGCCGGCTCGGGCCGGTTTATTTATGTGACACGCTGTGATTCCGGGCAGAGCCGGCCAGCGCGACCCAGCCGGGGCCGCCCTTCCGCCGACGGCAGATCCCGGCTCCGCCGGCTCCGACGCCATTAATGCCGGCACCGGTGATGAACGCGCCAGAAAATAGGCGACTGATCCGTCGGGCGCGGGGGAGTGTGCCGTGGTTCAGGCGCTCGGGTGGCGGTGCCGCGCAGAATGGGGCCGCCTGGGCGACGGCAGGGGCTGTTGTGGGCTGGGTTGACTCCCGTTTTCCCCGATCAGTTCTGGAGATGCCGAACGACTCACGGTGCTGTTGTGCGTGTACGAACTACTGGGCGACGTTGGACATGCGAACGCGAGCTTCCATGCCAGGACCGTCGAGCCGCTGTGGCACGTCATTTGGGCGATTCCTCGCTTACGGAGGAACCTTTACTGGCCCCAGTCGCACGTGTGACTGGTATGTGCACCACACCGGAGCGCAGTCAGTGGCGTGGCGGTGGCCGCTCACTGCAGACTGCTGTTGACGGGGAGGGACGACCCACCCGCTGCTCTCCCCGTCCGGCCGCTGTGGCCGGCCAGCCCTGTCATTTCTGGCCGCGCCCTCCCTCTCCGCTGCCTCTCCCCGGCGCGACGCCGTCCTGCAGGCAGCGCTAATCACGCCTCCGTCGGCACATTACGCCTGATTGCGGATTAAAAAACGTGCGGCTGTGTGCGGCACCGGTCGGCCGTGGCCGAAGTCGCGCCCAAATTATCCCCGCCGGGTGCCGGGACGGCGCCCGCACGGGCAGATTGGGGGCTCAGCGGAACGAGCCGGATCGCGGCGGCCAATGGCGCTGGGTGGTCCGCTGCGATTCATAGAGGCACGGGCGCCATTATTTGGGCGGTTTGCGTCGTGACGTCATATATGGTCACGCGGACTATGATCATCATACGCGGTTGTAATGCGCGGGGGAGAGCGAAGTCTGTGACGAGGTGGTCTGGATGGCTGCTTGGATAGCTGAGGTGGCCTGAATGGCTGAGGTGGCTGCCGGCGGTGTTTTGACGCCCGTCGACCGGCGTTGAGGACCTGCTGAGGCAGCAGGTCGCGAGCGGCGGCCGCGGTCTGCCGGCCATGTGATCAGCAGACTGCCGCCGCCGCCTCAGCTGAACTCGCTGCAGAAACCGCTGATCTCGCCCCGCTGAAGCGACGCTGTTAGCGCCCTCTCCGGTGGCGGGCCAGCGTCGATCAGTACTGTCTGCTGTCTGCGCACTGTCTGCGCACTGTTCGGTGACCTGACCCGCGCCTCTGCCCTATTTCAGCGCCAAGCTTCGTCGGCTCGATGGAGCACGGCGACTTCGTGTACTTCTTCTTCCGGGAGACGGCCGTCGAGTACATCAACTGCGGCAAGGTAAACAGCGGCCTCGGCAACTCAGCGGCATCTTAAACCGCACTGTAAACGGCCCTAGCCACGCCGAGCCATCCATAAACTGTGGCGCGGTAAACATCTCGCGTCCGTTTGCCCCGGGTGCCGGGTCACTCGTCCGCCTGCTGCGGTGGCTCCTCGCGGCGTCCTGCGCCCAGTCCGGTGACGCACGCGGCGGCGGCGCGGCCGTGGCGCAGACCGCAGAGGGGCACTCGACCGCGGCAAGCGCGCCGCACCTATGCGGCTCACGCCGCAGGCGAAGCCTAAGGTGTGCCTCGGTCGACACTGGACGCGGTTACGTAATGAATGACACGCTCACGACAAAGACGCAAAAAAATGTGGTCGCGGACGTGCCGGTGAGTGCTTTGTTTGACGTATGACTTCTGTCTGTGCAGAGGGTGTACTCCCGGGTGGCCCGCGTGTGCAAGAACGACAAGGGCGGCTCGTACAAGTATCGGAACAAGTGGACCTCGTTTCTCAAGTCGCGCCTCAACTGCTCCATCCCCGGCGAATACCCCTTTTACTTCGACGAGATCCGTGAGTCGCACTGTGTGGTCCCCGTTTTTAGTGGAGCCGTGTTTTTCTCGGGCCTCGTTTCACGCCCTCCGAGCGCCGAGCCGGCTGCGCCGACTCTCGTGCTGGAGGCGAGACGAACCCGTCTGCATCGGCCGGCGACCGGTAATTATCTGATTTATCACGCCGCACGGGAGTGCCCCGGACACGTGATACGCGTCACGCCACACTGCCGTCGTCACGTGACACGCTCGGTCGGGATGAATGAGCGGACCTCGCGGTATAAGCCGCCCTAACCGTGCCGCCCCGTTCGGCCACATGTTCATTTGCAGCCGACTGTAAACACGCCATCTGTTTACGTCTGCCTCGGCCGCGGGCCGGGTGGCGGGGAGGGGGAGGGGGCGGGTGTGACCTTGGCCGCGGCCCCGGCTGACACGGGGTCGGTCTGTAGCCAATCGGCTGTTTACGGACGTCTGATAAATGAGCCCTCCGGCGCCCGCCGCCAGCGCCGCGGCCCTGTCCCTGCGCTCGGCCCGCACGGTGGGCTCGAGTCGTCCCGTGTCGCAGGCTGGGCGGCGCCGTCTCCCCCCCGGCGCCGCCAAACCGGCGCCCTCGGGGCGTCGCCCCGCACCGCCGCCGGTGGTCCTTATCGGTAGTAACCCAGCTTTGCTGGGCGGCAGTGGGCTGGCCCCTCGCTCGCCACGCGGCGGCGCCGGTGGGCGCCCGCCCCTGACTTCGGCCGGGCGCCCTTTGGCGTCTTGTGCATACGCCAAAACAAAGCCCGGGAACTGCCCGGTCTAATGGCGCCCTCTGCAGCTGGACCGCGCGATTATGTTGTCATGTTCGTGAGGTCTGGCGCCCTGGGAGCCGGGCAGCCTACCCTGGCGGGCCGCGCTCGTGTACAGGGAAACGGCGGAGCGACGTCATCCCGGCCACTCCAGGGACGGCCCGTCGCCGACCGGCCGAGTCGACGGACCGTGTTCGTTTATGTGGCGCGTGTGGCGACTGTATCGGCCTGATGAAATCGGTCCGATCAAGGCCTTGGGACCGCCCGGCGCTGTTTGTTCTCGTGTGGCCCGGGAGAGCCCGCAGGCCCGCGTCTCGCTCAGAGGACGCGACAGGCGGGCACGTTGCCATGGAGACCGAGTCGATCCTATCGTGCTGGGAACAGTGCCGCTCGAGAAAAACGCCGTGTGAACGCTGAGAGAACCTAATGACTTGTTAGCTGGCCGTCTGGCGCCCAGTCATGTAAAAACGATCGGATCGGCACTGCCGGAGACGCGCCGTTCTGTTCCGAGTTCGGTACGAGATCGCCAGCATTCCCGTAGAGGGGCCTTGCCACTTGATTTACCTTTCAGGGACACTTTTTACTGATGTTCATCGACGTTTGCCACGATATTCAAGACGTGCGAATCCGACAGCACAAACTTCAGCGCTGTTTGCTGCACTGATAATTGGGTTTGTCAGTAATTGTGTTCCACATTCGCCGGTCCTGGCATGGCCAAGGGTGACAGCAACATTGACGATCGACCTGAGATTCCCGACAGTGAATGCGACACTCCCAGTGAGGTTTGGAGGAGTCGCTTCTGAACCTGGCGTGCAGTCTCGATCGTTTATACCGGGTGTCCACAGTCAGCTGATTTCTCCCGTCGGCCTGACAGCGCTAATGGTGCCGACGCTCGGTTACAGAGTCGATCTCCTCGGTGCAAAGCGGACTGTACGGCGGCCAGCAGGAGGACATCTTGTACGCTGTCTTCACCACCCCCACCAACAGCATCGCGGGCTCGGCCGTCTGCGCCTTCCGCATGGCCGACATCATGGATACGTTCGAGGGGGCTTTCAAGCACCAGGACGACATGAACTCCAACTGGCTGCCGATCAAGCAGTCACAGGTACGTAGACTGACGTCACGGTGCAAGGGCCTGCTCCCCGGGGCCGTCGCAGATGTTTACCTAGCTTCGATTGAGCAACCCTGCAAATATCGTCAATGTACAGTTCGTCGGCCCGCAGTCCAATTACACCACTCCTGCGGTTGTAAGTCAGTGCCAAGCCCTGGCTATCCTAAACGCAAACACAAAAGCAAATGTACGCCTGATGAGAAGACCAGGCCTTTCTTCATATGTGTCGCATGCAGCGGCTGATGTCTTCTTGGAGTCTCCAGCCTCGCCACTGTGCCTCGCTCATACGGCCGGTCTCCGACCCCGCCCGGCAGGTGCCGGAGCCGAGGCCTGGACGCTGCGTGAACGACTCGCGCCGCCTTCCGGACGTGCACCTGAACTTCATCCGCTCGCACCCGCTGATGGACGCGGCCGTGCCCTCGCTGCACGGCCGGCCGCTGGTGATGCGCACCAGCCTGCACCAGCGCTTCACCAAGATCGCCGTCGACCCGCAGGTGCGCGCCGCCGACGGCGCCCTCTACGACGTCCTCTTCGTCGCCACAGGTCAGTGCGAGCTGCGCGTGTTTTGCGTCCCGGGTGCGTGTGTGGGGACGGTGCCCTGCCACGTGTGGTTGGTGGCGTCGGAGGGAATTTAGTCGCCTTGGAGCGGGCGTGTTGAATATCAGCGGTGCCTCGTTCATTTAGAGCGATGATAATTACAGTTGTGAGGCCTGGTTCCCTGCTGAGCTCACCGTCTCCATCTCGTGCTGTCGGCTCTCGGCGGCTCCTACCAGCTCTCAGAGTATTGGGTGCCTTGCCTCAGAGTATTGGGTGCCAGAGTATCGCTCCTGCCCTGGACCGACCCGCTGACGCCACGCCCGGGTCCGCAGACGACGGTCGCGTGCTGAAGGTGGTGAACGCGGCGTCGGGCGCCGCCGCGCCGGCCGCCGAGCCGCTGCTGGTGGAGGAGCTGCTGGTGTTTCCGGGCGGCGCGTCCATCACCAACCTGCTGGTGTCGCGCCAGCCGGGCGCCGAGCCGCGCCTCATCGTCGTCACCGACGACGAGATCCGCGCCGTGCCGCTGCACCGCTGCGGCGCCGGCCGCACTGGCCACTGCTCGGCCTGCGTGCGCCTGCGCGACCCCTACTGCGCCTGGCACCCGGCGTCCGGCCGCTGCGCCGCGCTTGCCGACGCGCGGGCGCCGACCGCCGGCGCCGAAGATGCCGTCGTTCAGAACGTGACACACGGCATGCATCCGCTGTGTCCGCGCGGTGAGTGGCCGGCGGCGACGCGCGCGCCGCGCTGATCAGGCTGTCTGGGGGGGGGGGGGGTCTGCGTCCGCGGCTGCGCTCCTGCTGGGAGTGTCTGTTGGTGCGGCTGTCTGGTCTGTGGCTGCGCTCCTGCTGGGAGTGTCTGTTGGTGCGGCTGTCCGGTCTGTGGCTGCGCTCCTGCTGGGAGTGTCCGTTGGTGCGGCTGTCTACGTCCGCGGCTGCGCTCCTACTGGGGATGTCTGTTGGTGCGGCTGCCTGGTCTGTGGCTGCGCTCCTGCTGGGAGTGTCCGTTGGTGCGGCTGTCTGATCTTTGGCTGCGCTCCTGCTGGGAATGTCTGTTGGTACGACTGTCTGGTCTGTGGGTTGAGCCGTCTGACTGGCGTGTTCTGGGAGTGAGGCTGCTGCGAGAAAATGGCCATTGGCAATGTGATGGAGAGCGTCACGGACTTTTTGCGTGCAGAGTGTCTGCGACATTTTTAGTCTAGTTAGAAGGAAGCAAAACAATCTTGAGCTGCTTATTTATTGCGTTTTAAAGGTGCGTCAGCTGTTGGTGATTTAAGCCCTAAACAAACCAATTGTTGTGTGATACAAGCGTCAGCTGTGCAAATGTTGCCTTAATGTTGTCCTTAGCATCGTGGATGGGTGGTGGGATACTTGGGGGAAACCCGCTGAACTTCTTTTCTCTGCTTACAGGAGAGGACCGAGAACCGAAAATTCTCTACCAGGAGGCAACGAGTAAGTGGCTTTTTGTATGCACTTTCGACAGCCGCTTGTTTGTTCGGTGTCAGTGGCAGAATGCTGAGCACTGTGGGCACGGCTCGTGCGGCCTGCGTTCTGTTCTGTTGGCTTTTGCTTGCCTCCCTCCACCGCCCACCGCCGCTTGTGGCCAGAGCTCGCTCGCACACGCCTCTGTCTGCCTGTTCGTAGCGACCACCACGACCAGCACGACTTCGGCGCCGGTGTTATGTGACTGCGCTGCGGATGCCGCCGCCACGGCCACGCCCCCCGACCCCGCCCCGCCAGTGGGCGACCCCGCCGGTTAGTGGCACGAATCCTTCAGAGGTGTACATGGCCGCACGGTCTGCAGGAATCGGGTCCGAAGGATTATTGGTTTGTATCGCACTTTGGCGTGCAGTCTGTTATGACAGCTTTTGCGCTTTGCCATTTTTGTGTGCTGATTTTGCGACGTTATGTGACAATCGCGGCCTTTGTATTTGTAACATATTAACCCGATTTCGTTGCGGAATGATGAACCATTAGTCTGGTAACCCGGTTCGAACCCATGGCAGTCGCCACACTTGTTATGTGAACGTGCGGTCGGCTGCGGTTTACGGCTGCAAAGTGTGCCCAAGAACTGTAACGATGCCACCGTTGCAAGCCTGAATGGGCGTGGGTGTGGAGCATTACGAAGCGAAAGCAGACTCCAAATATCAATCGGGCTTTATTATTTCTACTGACAAACATACCGGGGCTTCACTTGCATTCGGTGGTCGAATGTTGTTTCAATACGTGCGACGAAGAGCACGTATTGGCAATTGCAGTGACATCACCGCTGACGACATTGACATCAAAACAACCACATGATCAATGATAACAATCCACTGCCTGTACCGCTCCGTGCAGAGAGCGAAAGCGTCGCAGCTGTTGGAGTGTTGTTTGCCGTCGCGGCCTCTCCTGCGCTGACGACACGGCTGTCGGCTTCCAGAGGACGAGCTGGACCGGGAGCTGTACGAGGCCGCCGGCGAGGGGCAGCGAGTGCTGGACTTTGTAGAGCACACCAAGTCGTACCCGGAGGCGGCGGCCGCCGGTGAGACGCCGCCCTCTAATGCCGTTCCCAGGGTTGCTGAATCGTAGCCGGGCGAGAGTGCGGTGTTGACGTGCTGCACAGGCCTTGCGTGACATCAGCGAGAAAAAAGATGTGCTCTGGGCTCCTAAGCGATTCGGGGATCGCTCTGGTTTAGCAATGCAGTTCATTACCGTTGCGCCGGCTTAGCGTGAATGAAATCGTGCTACGGTACGACTTGTGGCATGCAGTTCGAGGTGGTAAAAGATATCACGTCTAATGGCGATGATCCGCTTTGCGGTAAGCAGTCGCCCAACCAGTCTGGGCCGGGATTCAGGCCAGACAGATTAGTGGCGTAGGCAATCAGGCGTTTCGACCGCGGCGCCGGGCGTCGCCGATACGAGAGTGCGTTCGTTTGCCACGGCTGGGCGCGTGGTTGCTGATCTTAGGCACGCCAAAGACAAGACGATATCATGTCACTACGTGATCTGAGGTCTCTGGCCGGTCTCACGAACTGACGCTTTCTGATCTGCGGTTCAGCGCCGTGGTCGTTGGCTGTCATAAGGCGACCCCGTGTGTGACGCCACCTGTCGGTGGCTCTCGAGCGACATCTGACGGCCGTGTCTGTTGGCAGGGTCGCGCCGCTCGGGGCGGGTCTACACGGCCGAGACGCTGGCCGTGGCCGTCGTGACCACCTGTCTGCTGGCCGTGGTCATCGGCTTCCTGTCCGGCTGGGTGTTCTCGCGGCGCTACTGGCGCACGCGCGGCGAGCGCTACTACGAGACGCCGCACCTGGACCGCCAGTCCAAGATGAAGCAGATGGAGGCGGCGGCCGCGGCGCAGGTCAAGCCGGATAACAGGTGGGTGGCGCCGGGGGCGGCCGACTCAGCCTGCCTGAAGTGGAGCGGACTCTGAGGTCATAGCGAAATTATCCGTGACTTGATGTCGCTTCGGTAACTGTAGCCATGTCGTGACGACGGTAGTCCTATCCACGGCGTGGTGGCGCTTCGTGGAATGCAAGCCCTCGATTAGGCGTTATTTTTGGGTACGCGCCTCCGCTCATTTTACGAGAATTGGGCTCCCGTTGCGTGACGGAGTGCTCACCCGGATTCTTGTTGATCATGTAGAGCCAGCCTCGCGTGCTAGGAATTTGAGCTTATGAAGTCATTGCAATTACCGGTTGAAACCCGACACTGACTTTCCTCCGGGTCGTGTTTAGTAGCTCTCGCTTCCAATCTTCTGAGAACAGAACCGCTCTTTTTATGACATTGCGACGTTCTGTGTTTCATGCGGTGAATGGTTCACCACCTAAGCCCCTCAGGAATGTATAAACCAACGGCTGCAGCTTCTTTGTAATTCATGCCCTGTAAATAAAATTGTGTTCCAAGTGTCCCATCGGTAAGCAGGAGCTAACGTGCGGACCTTCTGCAGGTGTGAGCGCAACTTCACCAACGCCGAGCCGCCGTTCTTGGTGAACAACGGCAAACACATAAACTTAGTGGTGAACCAGACGAAAAACAGTAACGGCAAGAACGCCAACTCGGCGGCGGACAGCAAACCGCTGCAGAAAGTGCGGAAGATGTATCTGTAGTGCGCGCTGCGAGGATGACTGATCCATCAGCATTCCAGAGTGATGAGCCTGCCCGCCCCGGGCGGGTGGGGCGGCCGGCGGTGACGCGGTGGAGTGCCGTCCTGCCCTCGGACACGGCACAGGCCGGCGCTGGCGCCATCGCACGTGTGATAGATGAGAAACCGAGCTTCCGCGAGACCGCCACAAGTTGTGCCTCAGCGACCTGAGTGAGATTACGGGGCGGGTCGCCCGGCGTCCGGCGGTCCTGCTGCCGACGACTGTGGACCGGCCGCCGCCTACTGTGTTTGTTCTGCTCTTTGTTCGGCCGTCGCCGGGTTTGGATATGTTGTCTCCGTATTAAGCCGCTGGGAGGATTTCTGCTGATTTTGGAGGCCCGTGCGGTATGGTTTCTTTTTAAGGAATTTATTTTTATAGTGGCACTGGCAGCTGCGGGTGGACGCACGTACACCCTGTACAAATGATAAGTGCGACTATCTTGTTCGACGATTTTTCTCTGTGTACCGAATCTCAACGTGCTATCTTTTTATGATTTGTGGTGCCACCCGCTAGGATGGCCGAGTGCCAAGCATGCGTGCGTATGTTTGCGCGAACGTCGTATAGGACGAAGTCGGCTGGTCGCGCGGAGCTGGGAACGTTTGACAAGGGTTGGCTCCTCTCAAAGCCTCTGTAAGAATGAGCGGGCGCAGTCACCATACCCTGCTCGCCGCTGTGTATGCATGCCTCACGTGTACATAGCCATCAGTCATCGAGCCGGTGTACATAGGCGTGTGAGCGAAATTGTCCGTGCCGTCCTGGTGTTGCCCGTTGGGTGCGCGTGTGGCGTGAATGAGAGTTCTGTGTCGAATATGCATCATGACAATCGTGACTCGCGCGTGTTGACGCGCCTCGTCCCCACCCGACACATCACCTATGAAATCGCCGAATATTTATTCGTTTTAACTCCACACACCGCCCGCTGTTTTACCCGCGGCGATGACGATGTTCTCGCGCGGGAACGCCCGCGCGCGTGCGTCTGGCGCGCCGGCCCCGCTCGTGGCTGTTGACCGGTCGCATGAGGTCCGAGACCCCCAACTGTCCCTCCCCCCGATTACCACCGAGTAGCCCCTGATATTATCTTGTGCGTGTGTTCGCGGAGCTGGCCCCGCCTGGGTCTGGAGCGTGCTAGTTTGTTGTAGTGCCTTACTCGCGAAGGCTGCTCCCCCGCGCGCGCGGCGGCCACCCCCGGCTGCTGGACGTTTTCTATACGTGCACGTGCTCGCTGTCGTGTTGTTTAGTGTAAATATCCGGAGATATGACAACTTAAATACATGAATGATGCGCTGATTGATGCTCTGCGCTTACACGGCCCGTGGTCACTAGGCCTGCACAACGCACTCGACTTCAGAGGCCTGCCTGTCGAGCTGGCGTCGTCCGCCTCTCACCCCAGCAGAAAGGGCAGGCACAGTGGGGCATTGGACCCCATCCCTCAGATTTCCCAGACTAGCCACTGCACTATCAGCACCTCTTGGACACCCCAAGAACCAACATAGGGTCAACGATATTTTTACAGCGACATCTTTGCGTCCCATAAAGGAACTCCGCGACACGATGAAAAGGGCATCACAAAACGGTACCGGTCCTCGGCTGTGTATTGACGCTAACGGCCGACCGACGAGTCACGCCGAGACACCCCCACATCCCCGTCTGCCCAGTCCCAACCGCCACGGCCCGCACCGGCGCCCGAGCGAGCGCCCGTGAGACCTGGCCGCCAGGGAGTGTGCCGACCGGACCTCTCGCCTCACCCCCACATCCATGGAGTCCTCCGACCGTCACACGAGCACGGATGGCCGCGGAGAATCCTCGTTGAGGGAAGTTCGACGCCCACGGCTGCGGCGCACCACGCCACGTGCAGAGCACCGCACCCGCGCTCCTGACGCAGGGAGACAGCTGAAGGTCCCTGCGCTGTGCCGCCCGCGTTCGAGGCCGGATTCAAGTCTGGCTTCCCCTGTGCGGCGGCGGCTGCCGGCGCTGGCTCGGCCGGCTAGCGGGCCAGCAGGTGCAGCGCCAACGCCTCGTCCTCCGCCACCGTCATGCCTGTCTCCATGAGGTCCTCCTCGGCGTCAGCCGGCCGCCGCCGCCGCCGCCGCTTCGCCGACGGCTGTGAGGCGCCCCGCTTTCGTTTCGGCGCCGGCCTACGGTCAGGGACAGTCTCGTGAGCTCGCGCCGTCGGGGAGCTCGCGCAGGCGGTTAGTGCAGTATCAGCGACACAGAAGGACAGTGCAATGTCGGCGACTCGCGCAGTGAAGAACCTAATGTTCGGCACCAGACACCGCGCAAGAAACGCAGGAGCACGAATGCGTAACATACCTTAGACAAGATCCAACATCAAAGGGTCTAATTAAAATAAAAGCCGTCTGATTAATCCATCACTCGACACAGCCCTCCCAGTGACCGACCACACCAGCCGGGCGGCACCTCACCTGGTCTCCTCCTCCTCCGCTTCGCTGTCCGACTGCGCGCCCCACGCCGTCGGCGCCCCGGCCGCCTCGTCTTCAGGCCTCGCTGCCCGAGGAGGGCGGCGCCAGGCCGCGCGCCCCCGCCTCCTCGTCGCTGTCGGAGGGTGGCGCCAGCTCGGCCGGAGCGGCCTCGTCTCCGCTGTCGGCGGGGGAGGCCAGCCGCGGAGCTCCGGCGTCGTCGTCCGACTCCGGCTCCGGCTTCCGTTTCCGCTTCTTCTCCCTGATCGGGCGGCAAGGGGCACCGGCTCGTGACACGAGACCGAGCTGGGCGACCGAGGGCAGAGGAGCCGAGCCTTGCGACACCAATAACATGTCGAACGGCATCACCACAACCAGCTTTACTGAAATGGCCGGATGCGGTTTGCAGCTGCAGTCAAGGTACGGCACACCGCACGTCGTCCATTGACGGACACGATCACCGACGCGGTGGGGTGGCACCCAGACCGCTCCCAAAGGCGAGTGTCTCCCAAAACACTAAAGGCAAAGTCGTCGGCCAGCCTACCGCCCCCCCCCCCCCCCCCCGCCTCCCTCCCTCCCCCCTCCCCGCCCCGGCTGCGTCCAGCCTCGCTACGGCGTACTTGTGTTTGGCCTTAATCTTCTCGCGGAACAGCTCGCGGTCGACGCGATCCTCCTCCTTCAGGATCTGTCGCACGGTGGCGAAGTCGATGCCGCTGCCGCCCGCCCGCTGGTACTCTTGCGCCAGCTGTGACACCTGCTGCCGCGTGTTGTCCAGCACCGCCTGCCGGGCCCGGTCAAGCCAGGTCAGCCCTGAGTCAGGTGGGGTTAGGCTGGGACAGGCGAGGTCAGGCGGGTCAGGTGGGCCAGCCGAGCTTAAGTGGGGCCAGGCGGGGTTGGTCGAAGTCAGTTGAGGTCAGGCGGGTACAGGTGAAGTCAGGCGGGATCAGGTGGGATCACACAAGGTCGGTCGGGGTGCGGCAAGGTCATGTGGGGTCAGGTAAGGTCATTTGGAGTCAGGCAACGTCATTCGGGGTTAGATAATGTCAGGCGGGGTCAGGCAAGGTCAGGCGGGGTCATACTGAGTCAGGCGGGGTCACGCAAGGGCAGGTAGAGGCAGACTAAATCAGGAGCACCACCACACTATCAGGCGGGGCCACGACAGATTTTATATAACAATATGCAGAAGATACGCATTGCATGTAACGAAAACGACACAGCTCAACAGACACCCTATCAAGACTGTGACACCTGCCAGAGCCGGAACTACGCCGGCGCCTATCTATCCGTTACCCCGAGCGAAAGCCGGACCCACCTCGCCGTCCTCGTTGAAGGCCACCTTGACGTTCGGCTGGATGCTCTTCTTGAGTACACGGTGGGCGGCGGCGGCCTTGGTCACCTTCTTGGAGGCGCGTCGCTGCTCGCGCCGCTTTAGCTCGGCCTCCACCAGCGCGTCGGGTCCGATCTCGTGATCGATCCGCTTTACCCGCAGCAAGTCATCGCCAGAGTCGGCGTCCGCCCCGTCTGTGGAGGTACAGGGTCAGGGTCAGGCTGGGTCACAGGGGTCCGCGATTTCGTCTGGGGGGTACAGGGCCAGGGCTGAGTCACAGGGGTCCGTGGTCTCGTCTGAGGGGTACAGGGTCAGGGGTGGGTCACAGGGGTCCGTGGTCTCGTCTGAGGGGTACAGGGTCAGGGGTGGGTCACAGGGGTCCGTGGTCTCGTCTGAGGGGTACAGGGCCAGGTCTACGTCACAGGGGTCCGTGATCTCGTTTGAGGGGTACAGGGTCAGGGGTGGGTCACAGGGGTCCGTGGTCTCGTCTGAGAGGTTGTCAAGGGCGGGTCAAAGGTGTTCGTGATCACGTCTCAGGAGTACAGAGCCAAGGACCAGATCACAGGGGTCCGAGATCTCGTGTGAGGGGCACGGGGACAGGGCTCGCGTGCAGGACGGCAGCATTTGGCTAGCCTTCTACAGCTTCGATTCCGTACGACAGTGACACCAGTCCAGTAACGCGCTGGAAGTAATCCACCTCCTCATCCTCCAGCTGCGGACGCACGCGCACCGCCTGCAGAAGTGCGCAGACACCGGCGGCCAGACTGACCGTCGTGGAAGCTGTAGGCGGTGCGGAAGAGCGGCTTGTAGGGCTTGCCGTCGGCCGACAGCTTCGTCTCCTCAATGCCGCTGTCCTCGGCCTGCTCTTCCGTCTCAGCCTTGCGGGGTTCGGCGGCCGGCGCCGGCTGCTCGGCGGCTGAATTCAGCTGTTTCTTCTTCAGGAATCGGATGCGGGGTGCTACGGCCAGGCCCAGCGACCTGATGAGGATATGTAGGCCTTAAGGTCGTGATGGTGGTCAGGGGCTGCTCTAGACATCGGCACTGAGAGGGAAAAAACTTCTAGCTCACAAAAAGCATCACGAGAGCACCCACACAGAGTATCGCAAAGTATTCCTCTTGAAATACTGAAGCAGCACTGACGAACTATGAATAGAACGACAGAACTAAGCACTATGGAAAGTTGTGAACCACAGAAACGCCGCACACACTTCATCACGTCACCGAGATTCAGGAAATGAAATTTCCACTCCTTAGAGAAGCCCCTCATGACGCCGCAGCCCAGACACGTCCGAGCTCTCACCGGGCGTAGGCTTCCGTGTCCACACTGGCCACGTCGAACACCTCCTTGTTCTTCATCAGGAACGTTGACTTAAAGTAGGATTTGAAGGCGCGCTTGGCCGACTCCTTGAGGTTGACGTCGCGTGCCAGCAGGGCCTCCATCTTGCGCTGGACGGTGGCTGTCTTCGCCTTGTTCACCCTGGGAGGCGGAGAAACCCATCACCCGCCAGCGTGAGGCGAGAACAGCACGAAAACCATACACGAACAGCAGCGGAGGTGCGGCACTACCGGTATGCTATATCCCGCAGAAGATGGGTTATCGCACACACTGCATGCTGGGTTTGAGATGACCGCAAGATCATGATCGTTTGGGTTCTTAGAGGCTTGGTATCTTGACAGGACAAATGCCTTATGCCAATATTAAAGCACACACAGCACGGCCTGTTGTGTGCAGTCCCAACCCAGCACCCGCCGCGACGATGGGTTTGGAGCCTAAAGCGCTGCCAGCCCCGGCAGCCAGTCAGACAAGACAGACCTCGAGCCGGTAAACATCGGCAGCACTCACTCGATCTTCTGAATGGGTATCTTCCTCTGCTCGAGCTGGGCGATCATGCCGCGCTCCTCGCGCGGCGTGAGCACCAGCAGCGTCTCGCCTCCCCGCTGGAACCTGCCGACACCGGCCGACCCAGGGGTGAGCGGAGGCTGGCGGACCGAGCCGCTCGCTCTAGTGAAGCCCTGGCAAACCTAAGTTCGTGACGTGCACAAATAACAGCGATACGGCAGACAAATAAGAATAAAGTAACTATCACCCAGCCATCCGCGTGTCACTTGTAGCTGCACACGACCTCCACTACATCCATGCGATCCAAGACGCAGCTGTTTTGATTCCTGAGCACCTCCGCTGGGCCTGACCCGCTCTGCAGCTCACTCCATGGTTACACAGCACCCCCTGAGGACGGTCCCCGTCCGCCGAGGCCTCCCGGGGTTCGTTCGGCCGGTGCCGGGGCGCCGTACTCGCCCACGCGCCTCACCTGGCGGTGCGGCCGGCCCGGTGGATGTAGGTGTTGGCGTCCTCCGGACAGTCCAGCTGCACCACCCAGTGCACCGCCGGGAAGTCTGCGGCGTCACACGTCACAGTCAGCGCGGTCCGCGCCGTACCATCCGGGATGAATGGACTCGGCTCGGGCAGCTTTGTCAGTACAGTCGCGTTCAGGCGTGCACGCCAAGAAGACAGAGCTGCATTGACAAACTCCCGCTAACTGCTCTTGTAGCCTCAGTATCATGGCGCTACGACGCTGAATACTTGTTCCATGAATTCATATCAAGTTGTCGTGCACTGCGCTTAAAAAACAGCGTGTGATTCAACAATGCAATCTTCTTACGTCTTTGATCGGTTTTTTGCCTACGCCGACATCTATTTAGACGTCATCAATCAGTTCGAGATAATGACATGCCAGCTGCTGTTTAAGCATTTAAGCCACACCTTTTATCTGTCTTCCTTATGGCCGATTCCCACTCCACATGCCACATGCGCTAATCGGAAGTGGCTCCTGCTCACCAAGGGCCGGCTACGACCCCTCCCCGTCTCCAGGCCGTCAGGCCCGTGGCCAGGTCCCTCACCGAGCCCCCTGGCGGCGATGTCGGTGGCGAACATTACAGCGCGCTGCTTGCGGCAGAAGTCGTCGTAGATGGCCATGCGGCGCAGCTGGTGCAGCGAGCCGTACAGCGCCATCACCGTGATCCCGGGCCTCAGTCGGCAGAACATCTCGTACATATACTTCACCTGGTGATGGCCGACAACGGCGCATGGTCAGGGGGAGGGGCACCGCGCAAGCGGAACAATTCATCACATCAATACACCTGCACTGAGCCCATACAGCTGTCACGATATTTGCACGAGATGAGAGAGCAAATCTGCCTGCAGGTAGGCCAAATCATATGTGCCGTCGCAGTCGAAACTTCACGCCGAGTGTAACAGCAGCACACAGGAGCAGCTCATCGATGAGCGCGCCTGCTCAGAGACGCGCTTACGCCGGTCCCACGCACAGACTTCAGCGTACATCACCACTAACATCCCGGCATCCCAGCCAGCCAAAACCGAACGCGTCCCACTCTCGCACACTTCGGGGGGGGGGGGGCGAACAGGCGTAAAACACCTTCCCCGGCGACGGACCTTGCCCCGGCCCGCGCCGCGGTGCGCCGTGATCCACGCGGAGCCGCTGCGGGCCAGAAGCGCGGCGGCTCTCGCCGGCGTCACCCACCTGCTTGCAGGTCTGCAGGAAACAGAGGATCTTGTGCCGCTTGTGGTGGCGCAGGAAGGACCAGAACGTGTCCGTCTTCTCGTGCTGCTCGCAGACGATGTAGCTCTGCGCCAGGCCGGCGGGCGTGCTGTGCTTGGCCTTCTCGTGTACCGACACGTACACCGGGTCACGGAGACTCAGCCGGCAGAGGTCACGGACAGACCTAGGGGTCAGCACGGGTCACGTCAGGGGGACACCGGGTCACGCAGACTCAGCCGGCAGAGGTCACGGACTGACTTGAGGGTCATCACGGGTCACGTCAGGGGGATACCGGGTCACGGAGACTCAGCTGGCAGAGGTCATGGAATGACCTTGAGGTCAGCACGGGTCACGTCAGGGTGACATCGGATGACGCCAGGGGACACAGGAAGGCAACTCGATCGGAACTGGTCACCGACTGACCTAGAGCCTGGAGGCCAGCACGGGTCATCCAGGAGGAGAGTTGGTGCTGACAAAACCACGCTCTGTCCCCCCTCCCCCCCCCCCCCACCCCACCGCCACCATATCTCAGCCTTGTCCCGACCCGTCAGATCATGCCTACACAGCCTACCAGCTCTACCCTGGTGGAGCTACGGACCACACGGGCCACCTACTTGGTCTGGGTGGCCGAGAACAGCAGCGTTTGCCTCTCGCGCGGCAGGTTCTCGATGATGGCGTTCATGGCCTTGGCGAACCCCATATCCAGGCAGCGATCCGCCTCGTCCAGAATCAGAATCTGGGGACGGCCACGTCCGGCAACCGATCAATCGCGGTGCCAGAGTCCAGCGTCACAAAGATGAGAATGAGTAAGGGCAACCGTCGCAAAACCAAAGCAAAATAACTCGAATGCCTCAATGCGTCTAAAACAGCAGTACAATTGGAGGTCTTGATGGCGAACCAGCGGAGAGAGCGGGCGCACCGCACCGGCGTCTCGAGCCCAGCCGTGTCTGGCGCTGCCGCGCGCGCACCTGCAGGCCGTCGGCGCTGAACAGCGGGTTCTCGTCCATGTGCTGCAGCAGGCGACCCGGGGTGCACACGATCACGTTCACCTGGTCCATCCGCTTGCGCTCGAACTTGAGGTCCTTGCCGCCTGCGGACAGAGGAGCGGGTGAAGCGACAAGACACAGCTCTCAGTCTGCTCAAGCTCGCGGCGTGCTGTGGCCGGAGCTGACGAATACCTCCGGTCCTTGGAGTGGGAAGGACTGAGTATGCGGTGGACAGTGACCAACAGGCGCCATGGGGAGGTTCATATAGCTGCCGGCTACACACTCTGGTTCTGCGCATTGCGGGCACATATTGGAGAAGTGGTTATTCCAAGTCAATCATGGCCTAAAAGAGACTAAAAGCTGGAAAGTAGAGAAAAGCAAGCTCGAAACCCACCGTATTACTCTCATTTTCACAATCATCTGACAAAGTCTATAGCTGTTTTCCAAAAAGCTTAATAAACCGGGCATATTCACTACCCAAATACCTTCGCATGTCTCTTTAAGCTGCTTCATGTACACTAAGCTGCCTCACATGTCTCTCTGAGCTGCTTCATGTACTTCATGTACACATATCTCTTCAGGCTGCTTCATGTACATACTCAAAACGCCATATCCTCTGACCAGCGACCACTAATAAATTTCCCGCACGAACACGGATGATGTACGCACTTTAATCGGAGCTTCGGGCTGCACTATTCCCTGTCTCAAAGACACATCTCAATATGTGTGTAGTAATGGTATGAATCTTACGGCATGTCTCCAATGAATATGGCGCTGGCGGCCGGGTCCGGCGAGCCACACCATGCCGAGCTCCCAATAGGTGCACCGGGGACCAGCGCGGACTCCCAGACCTACAGAAGCACCACGGCCGCCCCGCCCAGCCAGCCGCGGCCCGAGGCGCCGCCGCCCCGTCCCCCGACCCACCGATGATGAGTCCCGCAGAGAAGTCGTGATGTTTGCCGACGTTGCTCAGCACGGCGAAGATCTGATAGGCGAGCTCTCGCGTGGGCGTGATGATGAGTGCGCCGAGGCCGTCGACGCGGGTCCAGCGGCGCCGGTACAGCAGCTCCAGCATCTAGAGCAGCACTATGGCGTCAGCAATCAGGCCAGCACGGCGACGCAGCGTCAGCGGTAGCAAGACAGCTGCATCAGGCTTGAAAAACACTACTTGGTTAAACAGCGTCTCCGAGGCAGCTGCACTACTTGTTTGCTGACAACAAAAGCCTACAGCTGTTGCTGCACCTTTTATCTGCCTCATCCACAGCAAAGAGCGGAGTCACGGCCGCCAAACCAAGCAGCGAGGACCACCACTGATTCAAACACGAGCACGGGTCACCACTCAGTCACGCTTTATAACGGCCCTACCACCCCCGACAGACATCACCCACCCGCCGGCTAGCACGATCCCCGAGCGTCAGCGGCCGCGCCCACCGGTATGAGGAAGGCGAGCGTCTTGCCGGAGCCGGTCTTGGCGGCTCCGAGCACGTCCTGGCCCTGCAGCGCCAGCAGCACCGCCTCCCGCTGGATGTCGGTCGGCTGCAGGAACTCGTGCTCGCGCAGGCCCTGGCGCGTGCGCTCCGACAGCGGCAGGTCATCGAAGGTCGACACCTGGTCGGCGCTGATCTGAAGCGGTGGCACCAGCGGCGGTGACGGGCGGTTCGGTGTCGGTGTAACGAACAGATAGGCGCCGATGACGGCCACGTAACTGGTACTGACGACCATCGTAAACAGTTACAGAACGGCTAACCCCTGGTGACGAGTCGCCGCTGGTCTGCCATCATTACGTCACTGGCACAGACATACTGGCGCTGGCCTGAGATGAGCATGCCACTGGTACCTAGTCATGGGTCAGTGTAGGTAAAAATTGTCACTGAACATATGTTTGGAATACCAGCTCATAGACCAGAAATATGGCCAACTTGCAGCACTGTGATAATTGCCATCACATATTGCATGAAAACAGCCAATGGCATACTTACTGAGTCATATTGTGCCTCTAAAGACTGAATTTCTTCCAGCTCACTGTCCACTTTCTTTTTTCCTTTATTTCTTGATTTTTTTCCATTCTCCTTGGACTTCATGACAAACGGCTTAGCCTGTCAACAGTATCTCTGAAAGAGCCAAATAAAGCATGAATATCATTGGCATCACTTAATAACAATCTATATTGTTCACACCATTTTCCACTACCTCCAGTGCAGCATTTAAATGACAATTCTAATGCCACTATGCTGAATGGAACTCTAAGTGGGCTCATTGGCTTGAAGACTTTGCAGTAGCTTGATCCTTTTGCCTCCAAGCCAGGCTCTCAGGTTGGTCAGTCATCACCTAACACCTTCTCATAGTGCAGAAGTGTCATATTGAAGTCCAGTACACCAAGAAGCATTACTCAACACCTGATCAACTCTGCCAACTGGACTTGTAACCAAAAAATAACTATGATAATACTTCAAAGTGTGCTGTGTTTGTAATATGAAATCTGCTGTTGTGATTGCTGGTGACATATTTCACCACCCTGCTCTGAAGTCCAACCTTGAGCCTCTGCCGGCCTCAGCCAGGCAGAGAGGGGAGGGAATGTGGAGAGGGAGGCAAGGGGTTGAGAGGTGGTGTGTAGTACAGAAGATTCAATGTTTGTTCTTTGTGGTTTTCTACTGGTATAGTGTTTCTACATCACCCAACACTTCTGACAAAGTAGCACTGATGGCAGTGACAAATGTGCCAAAAACAACAAAGACATCATATAGCATAACCAAAGTCATTGTCAATATACAACCAATACATCTGACCAAAATTTCACCATGATAAGATCATCATAGCAAGCCATATCCTTGTCATACTGTTTTACATGTCACTGATGAACATTCACCATTTCATGAGAAGTAACTACATCAGCATATAATAGATGTTATTAAAGGTACCACTACTACTATAATGTGCAGGCATATGCATACCATAATTGCCTGTCACACAGGAAGTTACCAAAGCTGGCTGTATTAGTAGCCCACAGTCAATAGCTTTAATCATATGCCCTAATGCATACAAATGCACAGGTTCTGGGGTTCCCAGTTATCAGCAGTGATGGCTGGACCCAATCCATGTCAGCCATGTATGATGCCCATACATAACCTACACACATATATCAAAAATATTTTGCATTCAATTTGTAGAGCATAATTCAAGGTCCATCAACTGATCCACAATGTTAATGAAACAAGCACCATTCAAAATGTGGCAGATCCACACCATCAATGTGCTGGTGTTCCCACATCTTTGCAGCTACTGATGCATTTTTTGCACATATATGGATATGTAGGTAAAAGGGATGGTACATTAACAACATGGGATACCGCAATCCAAACACAAGCATGGCAGTCACGCATGGACACCGGAGGCCACATCAGGAGCATACAATGTCAATGTCAAATTTCTATCCAACAAAATCATAAATGGCTGTAGGCATCATGAATAAGCTGCAAAACTAATGCTGAAACTCCTTCACCACGCCGACACGCATGCCTGAAATGCCGAGCACATGCCCACCGACCTATTCTACAAATAGCGCTGCCAGCATGAGGTTAACGCAATCATGCCGTGGATCGTTGCCTCATAAATGCCACTGTTGCGCTTTATCTGTAGTACATAAGCAAGCTACCAAATTATAATTGGTGCCCAGTTTAGAAGTTTATTTTCTGGTTCCTGCCATATTGCCTCTTCACGTTCTCGTTCGTCCCACCGGTTTCTTTCAACATCGATCCTGTATTTTGATCACACAGGAATATTTCAGCAAGCACACAGCGATTTCCAGCATTCCAGCTTTATCGTTTGGGCGTATGCGAGCGTGTCAGGCTGTCAGCTCTTGTGACTCCAAAATGAAAGTCTCGTCTTTCGTCTAGTGCGAGGTTAGGACTACTAGTTAACGAGTGTAACCACTGCGAGTGATGAGTGTAACCACTGGGCTCCGGGCGAGGCTGTAGTGATATGCACCCCAACTTTCTAATGGGATTTCCTCCCTCTCCTCCAGCTTCTGTACGTGACACTTTTTCATGCTTTCTCATTTAACATGCTTTAAGATTCTAATTTGACCATTAATGCTGATTAGTCCAGATTCTCCGCATGTGATTACCCCCATTACTACAGACAGCATTTCCAACGTGGTGCCGTGGACGCTCGGGTGTCTGCGGCGCCGCGTCCGCAGGTCGGCCGCCTGCGCGATACGAATGCAGTCTGGCAGCCATATCCAATAAACCGATAGATGAATTAAAAAATATAAATGAATAAATAAATCACAAAATATGTATCCACAAAAAATATCCAATTAATAAATTTTGTCCGTCCCGGTGGCTCAATTGGTTAGAGCGCCTGCCTTCCGATCCACCCATCCGTGGCAGGGTGAGTTCGAGTCGTTTAAGGGCGCTCGCTGTTTGCCTTTGACAGGCATGGCCTGTGGGGGGGTGGCAGCGGTCGCGTTAAAGGTCAGTTGACGTCAAAGGACAGGACGGACTGTGCCGAGCATTGTGGCACGTTAAGCTTTCGCCACTAAATTCGGCTGTTGCCTGGAATTGCGCGATCGGATGGTTGGGGTCAGGGCTCACACCATTCACCATTCAGTTAAGCAAAGGGCTCAAGCCCCCGCCCCCACCCCCTCCCAAAGAAAAAAATATTGAGGCGTAATTGAACGAAATCCGGGGAGCCACCGGCGAATTTTGGGACAGGCTTTATGTTTTCCATTGTTCAGCCCCCCACCTCTAACATATCACTCGACTCACTCTGTCCATAAAGTTGGCCCGGTTGCCGGCACACACGCTGGCTGCGTCGTAGCGGTATCGTCGGGGCTTCTTCCGCCAGCTGGTCAGGACAGGCCGCGCTGCCCACCGATTCCGTCCTAATCGCCGTTGGTGCGTCCTCCGCGCTGTCCGGGTTTTCAGCGACTGCGCCAGGGACGTCCTGTTGTGGCGGATTCGCGGCCAGGTATAGGGGGCCGTCGTCTTCCTTGTCACTGTCGTCACACTGTGATGCATCGCTGTACCGAGGCCGCAGGTCCCGCACGTGCCACGGTACGCCATCCATCTCGGCCACTTGCGATGCCACGATCCGCGTGACGACGCCCTGACGAGATGTTCGGCATATCCAGACGAGGTCACCAACCTGGAACGTGGAGGTGCCCAGCCGTTGCCGCGCCTCGTCTGGCGCCGGCGGTGACCACTGCGAGTCATCGGCCGTGTCACACTGGCTGGGCTGCATGCAGTCTACCATCTAGTACTGGCAGATGCCAACGGCCGGTGCGTCCGCGGCAGACTAGCCAGAACGCGGGGTGATGTTGTACAGATGTACGGGCCCTGCAATGGCGCAACATCGTCGCGCAGCGATTACCTTTACCGTGTGATGACTGCGTTCCACGATGCCGTTGCCGCTTGGCTCGTGGACGGCCCGAAAGCGAAGAGCTGTACCGCACTCTGACGCCAAAGCGGCCAGCTGATGGCCACGGCAAATGGTGTCGTTATCCGCCAGAATTTCTGTCGGCGCACCGCTCTCATAGAAGATCGCCTCTAGACGTTGGACGACTTCTGTTACGTCGGCACGGCACAGCTACCGCCATAGGCTGTACCGGGACGGGCCGCAGTCAATCAGGGACAGGTACGATCCACCTTGGTAGTGGGTCACGTCTATCGCAAGACGTGTCCATGTGTCGGGGACGTGCAGCGAGCCATGTCGCCACCGCGTTGGTGCGGGGTTGATGGATTGCCACCCATCGCACCGACCTACAACCAACGGCACGACGGCTCGGGACACCTCCCGCGCTACGTTGCGCCTCACGAAGTACAGCGTCCGGCGGATTCCTGAATGGCCGGCACTCTCGTGTGCAGCCATGATCCGCGCCTCGATTTTCATGCTATTGTCGCCCTTCGCCTAGTCAGCACCATCATGCAGGGCGGCAGCTGCCACCCTGGAGCCGATGCGCATGCTCTCGCCACCTCCCACGGCGCCTGCACCCCTGATGCGGTGCGGGATCCTAGCTGTCCCACCGCCGTCCACCTGAGTCCCGCGCAGCCATTCCTTTGGGGCACGGGTCAGAGCATCCGCTCGGTTTTCATCCGACCGCACCGGCGCGACCGTCAGCATCAGGCTCAGCTCATCCAGCAAGTGCCGGATGACGTCGGATCAGCATTTCTACCGCGCGCGTCTTCGCCTTCGTGCGAAGACGCGCGCGGGCACTCAGCGCGTCATCAGTCCACCGATCAACCGTGGTGGAGTCAGTACGGAGGTCGATGATCTTCATCCCCCAGGCGATGGCCATGCTGATCCCGCGCACCGCCGCATCTAGCTCCGTCATGTTGATGTGTGTTGACATCGTGGTCTCAGGGCGCAGCCAGCAGGCATCCTCTACCACACCGTCGTCCAGGCTCTCGATAACCGCACCTGCAGCGATGGCGCTGGCGTCCGTCCAAATGATGACCTTTTCAGCTGTCAGGCGCCACGGGCCACGGGCCGGGTCATCTGTCCTCAGTCGATCTTGCCACGTCCGTGGTGGCGTCGTCGCATCCGTGCGTGACGGCATTCACCCTGCGCTTCAGCCCAGCGACGGCAGGCAGGTCGAAGCCATCCGCCGACCGGCAGGAAGCCACCAGCCGGCCGCACCACACGAATACAGCGCGCCGCGTTACCTGCTCCGGTGGTGCAGTGACACCATTGTCTCGCAGCCAGTGCAGTTTCCCCTCCACCACCTGTACGCACAGGCCAAGCAGGTGCGCGCCGTCCACTACACGCTCCGGCGCCTTGCAGGCCAGGCCGAAGCGAGCGAAGTGACGCACCACGCGGTCTGCGCCCACGATGTCCTCATCGACCAGCAGGTCGTCCACGTACGGGGGGAGCGCGGCGTGCTGCATGGTCGGCGTCCTCCGCCAGCACTGCGCGAACGACAGCCTTCATTATGAGCGGGGTGACGTTGAGCCCGAACCCCAGTCGTGTTAGGCAGTAGCGCTGTCCTCGCACCATGACCGTCTGGTAGGGCCACAGTCGGTGTTCCAGGCGCAGCTGCAGGTACGTCTTGCGCAGGTCCACCACGGCCACGCGCGTCCCATTTCACCGCCGCTTCTGGAGCTGGTCGGCGTAGACGTCTGCGTCTGCCGTGTGGGCCGTCACGAAGCTGTTCAGCTCGCGATAGTGCAGGATGGTCTCGCCTCGTCCTGGTTTGCCTGCCGTACCGCCATCAGCGGCACCAGACGCCATTGCTGATCCATACGTTTATTTTTGCTTCGTACGCCTGCCGTGCGTCCGCAGGCACAGAATACTCGGCCACCACATTGCGTAGACATTCTGGACTCGTGCCGTCCGTCCACTTCCAGGTGACCGTCCACGCCTGCTGCTCGCAGCTAAACCTCACCGTAAAGTCGGCCGCATCCATCTCCAGGCCTCGCTGGATAACAGCCGCCGCCGCACAGGACCGCACGTCTGTCGGCATCCGCACACTGATAAACCCCAGAGCAGTGATGCAACTCATGCCGAGCATGACGTCAACACCCAGTGGTCGGTTCGGCACTACCTCGACCTCGAGCGTCACTCGACGGTCATTGGTATTGACTACAGTCGGTCCTTGGTATTGATGTGCTGCCGATCCCGCAGCAGCTGAGTTCCTCGCCGTTAATCGTGACCATTTTCACCGTCAGTGGTGTCCATTGTCCGCAGCGGCCAGTGTGCACAAGCGTGTCCGTGCAGCCCGTGTCCACCAGCACGCTGACCATCCGCTCTTTCACCTCCAGCCGGGTGACGGGCAGCGCGCCACTTAATGGCAGGGAGACGGCGCTGGCGCTGGCGCGGCGTCCCCCGACCCGTTTCCCGTCCGACGCTGTGGACAGGCGACGGCGATGTGGGCCGACTCACTGCACGTCCAGCAGCGTCGCGGTGGGCGTCTCACCAAGCGTCAAACGGCCCGTCTCCATCCCGCGTGACGGCCCCGCTCCCGCTAGCCGACGCTGGTGTCGTTACGCCATTAGTCGTGACGGACGTCGTCACACCGCCTGCAGCCGCTGTGGGGGTCTCGGGCATTCTTGCCGAAATAGCTTGCATTCGATGAGTGAAATATTTCTCGGCCGGACTACCTCACACACAATAGTAAACTGCTGTACATGACGCCGACAGGGAACCTCCACCTACGCACCCGAGCAGCACCTCTCATCCAAGACTCATATTACATAAGACCCGTCCAAGACTCATATACACAACACGATCTGCGTGCGACTGGCCGGCGCCACCGTGACGCACCCCTGTCGGCGTGCCTACGGGGTAACGCACCGCCCCGGGCCGCGACCGTTCACCTTACTCAGACATGAATCATCGCCCCACTTGGCTTGACATGTTGACACCGTCGCTGGGCATGATCAATCGCCACAGTTGTTCCAATCTTTTCTAGGTGATTTGGGCCATATAAGCATCTATCAAGCATATGCTTGCACTGTTTGCTTTCTGTATGGCAGCAAATGCAGCTGGTCTGCCTCAACGAAACAGCAGTGGCTGTTGGCATGTTGTATAACGCCGTCATACGCGGTCAGCCCTCTCCAGCAGGCGGACAATCCCGGTGCCATCAACCGACCGTTGCGGCACCAGGCGCACCGCCAGTTCATGCTGTTGAGGTATGTGAATGACTGGTACAGCCAAAGGCACCATGACGGTAATACCTTTTTGTTCTGGCCATGAAATTGGCCGTGCTGTCGACAGATGGGGCTGGCTCGGCCGAGGCGTGCGTCGGCTGGTCCCGGCCTGCGTAGTGTCGGCTATCCGACAAAAGCGGCCGGACCCGGCCGGCAACTACGTCGTATTCCAACATCTAGACATGATGCTTTAATCAAGACTACAACCAATTGTAACCAACATTACAGAGAACGAGGTACAGGGACGCAGCCAAGAATGTCTTTCAACTCAGCTTTAAGATAATATTCTATGTTAACCCCGATGGTGTGGACAAACGGCTCCTGGGGTGCAGTGGTGGCACATGTACAACCCAGAATGTCTTTCTTGCTCAGGATCGCTAGCCATCCCTGACAACCACTGTGGTGAAACGGCATTCTTGCTGGCCACAGTACTTTGGCACGGCGTTAGATCAATTATCGGTCATTCATAAGTTATAAACCGTCATCTTATAGACAAAGACTAGCCAGTTATGTGGTGCATTGTGATATCGCACGCGTCAACGCCAACGGTGCCATTGTGACGCTACCTCAGCGCTGTATTGTGGCGTGACGTACCGAACAACGACACGAGTTTTTGCGTGCTGCGATCCCTGCTTTCACAATACATTACATGAGGACAAGGCTGGTCAAGCGTGCATTCCTGTATTTACTCTGTATCATATGTATCATGGGCCAAAAACACCCGATACAATGCACACATCGCTTTCCGCAAGGCACACAATCAAGTGGAGTCACTTGTTCCGCACGTTTTTCGAATCCACAAACCGTACGTAAGGAAGACACAAACAGATCTTCGGCGATTACGCATCCAACGATAATGAAAAATGACCTGTCGCTCGCCCACAAACCTGACATGACAATTCTGCAGGAGGTTCCGGTCCTTGGTAAACATCGCATTACGTCCACCAGGGGGAGCAAAGCTGGGCTAGCAGTCATGACAAATGATGACAAAACAGCTTATATGACAGAACAAAACAAAGCAATCATGACACGACATGACATGACAATGATGTGACAAATGACAAAAAAGCTACTGGAATCGGCTGTGCCGAACGCGACTGTCCGTCAGGCTCTCCCGGCTTTCGTCTGCCCGGGGTCCGCGGCGCACGAGCGGGTGTGCCACACCGGAGTGCTCCGACGGACCGGTGATCGTGACCTGCATACGCCTGTCCACGATGGCCTCCAGGAGCGGGCGCACGTGCGGGAAGGTCTTCGGCGCCTTCACCGGCCGTACGATGTACTGGTCGGAGACACGGCTGTAGACGCGAGACGTTCTGGAACCATGCGACAAAGTTGGACCATAACTTATTCATTTTGACATCAATCACCGGAACCCTTGCGTTACCGTCTAACTAGCCAACTAACTAATCGTCTAACGAAGACGTCTGGCAAAAAACAAAAAATAAAAGCAAGCCAACAAAGCATAATATCGCAGAAATGACTTGTCGCCAAGCAATTGCGAGCAGTCAAATGATGACAATTTTTAGCCTTGTCCACACCGTTTCCCATGACTTAATTCCGGTAGCAGTTTCCAAAATAACAAAAACATGGTTATCACTTTGAGCACACCGTCTAGCCGTGAGCGTACAGTTCGCAGACGAATGCATGGTGTTCCTTCGTATGCCACATTGCCTGCCAGAGTCCACCCTGTCCTTGACATGAACTGGCCTTAAGCCGCCACTGCCACCAAATGCAGGCCATCACAGCCATTGGAAAAACAGCGAGCAACACAGCTGTTCGCACTCACCCACTGCGCCTTGTGTGCTAAGACACCCACAAACTGAGGTGGACAAACGCCAATGAGATTCACCGCTAGGGACATCGCATTCATTGCATTTCGGGTGGTGGTGGAGGGCAGTGACGCCACGTCATGCACTACCTCACAGCGAGACACAAACACTGCGGTGAATGACTGCTCACTTGACGTTGCCCTCCTCGTCCCTGGCATGGTCTCGGCTGCGGTGTGCGGACCAGTCCAGCACAGCTGCGCGCTTCCGGGTAACAAAGTCGGGAGGCCTGCAACAAGATCTGTTATGTATATGTCGTGCTCAGCACTGCGCAAAAGCGCATACCGACAAGATGAGAACACCACTTATGACTGTGAACCATGACATGACTTTGGATACAACAGAAACAGGGGCATTGCTGAACCCGCTGACATGTTGCGATTGTAGCGGCTGACCAGTCAAGAAGAACCTGGATCAGGCGCTTTCCCAAAAGGAAAAGATCATCGTAGAGAACGCATGTTATTTAACACTTACGCGAAGTATTTCGGCTTTGGAGTGTGCTCAAGGCTGGCTGCGTGAAACACCTCCAGGTTGTCAGTGCGCCTGCAATGATGCACAAATTAAGTGTGGCGTACGAACGTCACATGATTATTTCAGGCACGACGGATGTGGTCTGTGCAGTGTTAGCCGTGATGCAAATAGCACCGCTGTCGGTACTGCGATTGTGCAACCAAAGGCAACAATTTAAGTATATGCAGCACCACTGAAGCGACGACTCCGTTTCCATTCGCATGTAAGAAATCAGGAATTTGTCCGTCCCGGTGGCTTAGTTGGTTAGAGCACCTGCCTTCCGATCCACCCACCCGTTGCAGGATGGGTTCGAGTCGCTTTAGGGCGCTCGCTATTTGCCCTTGACAGGTAAGGCCTGTGACCGGTGGCAGCGGTCGTGATAAAGGTCAGTTGACGTTAGAGGGCAGAACGGACCGTGCCGAGCTTTGCTGCACGTTTTAAATTCTGCCGTTTCCTGGAATTGTGCGATCGGATGGTGGGGGCCAAGGCTCAAACAAGCACTGCTTAGCGCGAGCGCTGATTCCAGAAATCCATCCATTGAAAACGTCGAACTAATGAGCGGGTTTAACTGTTCATCGTACATTGCCTAGATGTCCTGGATAATGAAATCTAACGCGTCAGAAGACGACATCGTAGGAAAGCTATACGACTGGGAACACAGGAACTTATTCAGACACCTGTAGTTCACAACGAAGGCAGCGAGGTTCAGTGTGCGGTAGCTGGCCACGACCTCCCACAGGGCGTTGTGCGCCGAGGATCCCGGCAGCAGCCACGGCGGTTCCCGAGACTCGCCCTCCGGCACGTCAGCATGGTGACAGCGGTTGAGGCCGCTGGGTGTAGCGTGGATGTTTACCACGTGGTTTACGATCATCATCCACCGCTTCTGAAAAAACAAACAAAAGCTGTCATCTGAAGGGACTGAATAGGCTGTCCTATGCCCCCATCCCCTGGATTGGGGTGATGCATTTACGACGCACTGTCTGTGCTAGGTTAAGTAAGGAAGTCGCATAACAGAAACACCACAGCCACAGCGAAACTGAAGGTGCTAGACACGTGTTCAGCATGCCGTCGGACATGGGGAGGGGGTATTTCTGTCGTACCCAAAGTCGCGATCATTCTACATGACGATAATCATGAATTATGCTGAATTTTATGCAGAGGCGGTTTGACACATAACAACAACGAACCCTACATGCGTTGCCGTGCCCCGCGCGAGTCAATATCGTGCCACTTTTCTCATCTGGCACGCCCCAAGTGTACTCAAGTGATGGCCCCCAATGCTGCAATGTGACATTGTCACCTTGAACACGTCGACGTCTCCGTGCGATGTTTGGGCGCACCACCAGAAGTGATTTTTGACGTGGCGCACCCAAGGTCTCAGCGCCCGGTTTGTAGCCTTCGCTGCATGTTGGCGCAGGCGCTTCGCCACGTTCTTCGCAGCGTGCCTGACGTTATACGAGTGCTGCACTCCTGGCAGACGTTGCCCTAAGTGGCGGAGATGATGGTGACATTAAGACTTCGATCCACATACCAACGATCCGATACAAGGCAGCTATTTCAGTTTGAGGGACAGTTTGTTTGAATTCATGGAGTGGCGCAAAAAGGGCCTTGGCGGTAACAGCGCACTCGGGATGCTAAATGCCCGGTTATAAACATCTCCAAACGCTGTGATTACCAATATGGCCATACAGCGTTTGGTGCAACACACATGACTGAAAGAAGAAAACAGGAAACACGGGAGGAAACGCAGAGCCCAAGGAAACACCACAACCGGTGACAGGCTACGAAGCAAGTCTGACCAATAAGTTATTACAACCGTCGCCGTTGCGTTCGACTTACTGACAACCTTCCGGACACCCAAGTGCTGATCAGAGATGAACTCCTTGATGGGCATTCCTTCGAGGTCGCTAAGGCAGCGTGACAGGCCTTCCACTTCCAGCTTCGGGCTGGAGAGGCCGACCTCCTCACGGCACATAGTGTTCTGTGTGCATGCACGTTTGGAAATGGCTCAGCATTAGAAACACAACTGGAAATGCTGGATGTCCACGACGATTTGGAGTTTTCGGGTGCGTTGACTACGATTGGCCATGCAACGACCGCAATGACTACACGAATGTTTTACGGTGAATAAGCTGTAAGCCAAATTCTAACCAGAAGACATCAAAAATGGATATTTGCGTCATTCAGATGTCAAGAAATGACCGCCTTGACGTACCATAGCCTAGCAATGTACACCAAAGGCAACCCATAAAACTTCTGCTCGCAGTTTAACCCATCACAAACAGCATCCCAATTTGATTGGTAAATCGCCAGTGCTCACCGGGCAAACATTCCCCGAGAAATCCTCACGCCAACGCTGACTGCCATACCTGCGCTATGATGTGGCCGGTTGTGTGGTCCATTATGGCGTAGCAGCCATATGACGCCGAGAAGCCAGGGCTGTCATTTTGGCGGTTACCTGAGGCACAAAGCACGATCTTTCACATCAGTATGATCTTTGTCATCAGATGAGATGGTTTTGCTACCTGGACCCTTTCCGAGCGGTTTGTTACCACCACTCGGGTGATCGTCGAAAACAGGTTGTAAGCGGATAGCAGTGCTGCAAACAGGTATGTTTTGTACAGTGACGCGTCAAACTTCCTACCAGGGAGGATGGGCAGTTTCGGATACCGAACAACTCGTGACAAATGTTGGTTGCACAGAGCGAGCGTTCGTCGGTTCCCCGTACTGGACAGCGCACTAAGTGCGGGTACAGCGATCAGAACGAACATTAAAAAAACGAGGAGAAGCATGGACGCGCCGCATCGTGCCAGATCGCGGCGAGGTAAGCCGGACAGGGCGCACCTAGTACAGAGGTACATACATTGGGGTCATCGTCCAGTCATGGGGACTTACCAGCAACCACAAGACCATCAGGTGATGCCACGAGAGCCGCCTCTCGGTTTTCAGTCAGAGTCCTGTTGAACGTCTCCTCAATCACTGGTGCTACAACGATTTGTGTGATACGGCTGTACGCCGTCCGACTGAGCTGCCCTATGTTTGCGAAGGCCAACAACTTGTTCAGCTTTTCCAGATGACTGCCACTGAGCACGACGGCCGCAACAAGTAGGGTGTCTATGACCATTGTATGGCCCTCCTTCGGCGTTGACACCCACTTATTGGCGACAGTGGCACATGTTTTGCATTCCTAAGACAGATAACCAAAAGAGATTGAAAGACCAGCCTATCACGAAAGCAGCATATATCCCCGCACGAGTGGCAGCGTGACATCACAACCACGACATCGCAGATGCGACAGGCCAGTGGCAGCCAAAAGACGTAAATCACTAAGAAATGGAGAAAACCACAAATTACGTCGCGCGCGGCTAGTGATGTGTGAGTAACGTAAATTCAAGTATTGAAGTCAATTGCGTCAAGCAAAACTTGCAAAAGAACACAACAAAAACTAGCACACTATACAACATTGCAAGAATACAACAAAAAGCAGGATACAAGTCACTTTCAAAGTTATTCTGGTCCGTGATATAAGTATGCATTTCCGACAGCATCCCCAACTGAGACTCACCCATGTGACCGTGAACGATACAGTGATGCGAGTGATGTTCACGCCGCACCTAGCACCGCAACGGGTGCAGAGCACCGCGGCGGCCTCGGCTAGCTCGCGCAGCTGGGGCTCGGTGATGACAGCACTGCGGGTACCCCAATGACAGTCGTCCTCCCCCGTCGCTCCGATGTTCACGTCTTCCTCCTCTGCGGTTTCCACCTCCATGTTAGGACTACTGGAAACAGGTCCGTACTTAAGCAAGAACACCAGCAGGAACGACGCCTAATGGGCTTACAGCATTCTTCAGATTTGGGAATGTACGCTTTTGAGCCACAAAAGCGAGAAGACCAAAGAAGAAACACCTGATGAAAGACCATGGTAGGGTAATACACATGACATGCGTTAAAATCTTTCATACCACAGCCAAACGATATGGAAAAAGGCGAGGACTTATGCATGCATCTACAACATTATCATGCCATAGCCAAACAGTACATTCAAGCATCAAGCTGAGTGACATGACGTAGTGCAAGTTCACTACTAATCTCGTCATCGTACATCAGCTCGAGCTCCACAGCTGCGTCCAAAGAGGTTGCGTGGTCGGGAGTCGGCGCCGAGTCCTGACTGCCGCCGGGTGTGAAGGCGCTCGGGGTCCATGCAACGTCGGCTGGCTCCCTGGTAGCCTGTGAGGTTCTGCAAGCAAAAGATAACGAGCGGTGGAAACATCACGCTTCGACTCGGCTTTAGCTTAAGGCTTCAGCTTATGGAGGTCATATGCATTATTCGAGGAGGCTGACCACAAATGCGAAAAAATCACTGAGCCTTGGTGACAAGCTGATTACCCATCACTGTCATTAATTAACTTACATTGATGCTGGCTTGAAATAAACAGCGTTAAAGTCGCTTTGTACTCACTGGCAGGATCTCAGCTCGGCTCGCACATAATCTCACGACAGTAATGCGCGCGCGCGCGAGCGACCGGATTACCACTGCCCCACGGGCTCGGGCACGAGTCAGCTGGTGGCCAGTCAAGTGATCTGACGGGTTACCTGACCCGGCGCCGGGAGGCCTATATCACAACAGAAATTGTTCCAGTTATGTTATCAATTTTTTCTTAATAAATAAAGTGACGTGCACACCATTAGAAGACAGTACTAACATCGGCGAATGAAATGCCCGTGGTATACTCGGCATGGCCAAGTCCTCAGTGTCACCCGTGTCGCCATCGCCACCCATATTACCGCCGCTGGCGTGCCTCCTACCGCCATCGCCGCCACCAGGTTCCCCCAGGTACCTGTAGTGAAATGAAACACTGCTTAAAAACGCAAAACAGGAGAAACACAGGATGAACATGACTGAAAGCCGCGGATTTTTCTGCCCTTATTAAAATCATGCAAATGGCAAACACCATTCATAGGCTCCGAATCAATTGCTGGAGTCTAATTTCATTCACAACAGTAAGATGCCGCATGTTTGGAACAACTCACATCGTACTATTAAGATCTTTGAGATATGAGAAAATTTGCATAGAATAATGGGTGACAATATCTTCCTTGTAGGCTTGGGCAATGTTGTAAAAAAATCATAGCCAAGTGCAATACATACAAGCAGTGCTCCTGAAGCTGTGTGCACATTGCACGGTACAAGGTTGTGTAGTCTAAACAGTATTCTGCTGCCTGCACAAACCAATGGTTACCCTTTAGCAAGATGCAGGATAGTACGCTTGACTGATGGTAGGCCGGCCTTTCGCATCGCACGTCGAAGGATCATGTATGTGCTGTTGGATACCACCAGCTTCTTACTTGTTGTCAAGTGTCTGGAACATAACAGTGCGATAAGGAAATTGTAATAGACTGCAGCTGTGGAGACATACCTATGACGATGACTACATCAGCTCAGGTGGGGACTTATTGGTAACTCTACTCTGGCTTTAGAGCATTGAAGCAAACAAGCTGCATTAGTGTCCTATACAGCATTGTCTGTACAATACCACATGAAAATAAGTAATTTTGCTAATTAAAGACAAATACAAGGCTGCTAGTTCCTTTAGTCTTTTTGGTGTGTCATTGAGTCATTTAAGTCCCTAAGGTCTTACAAAGTGCCTTGTGTTTGGCATGATATGGCTATTATAAGATGATGTCAATATCACTCATGATTGCCAATTTAAGTGTCTTTATGGCACTAGTGAATTCAGTTTTTGGTATTGTTTCTGAGACAAATTCCAATCTTCTTATTCAAAAAGTAAACTAACATTCAAAGTCTGACCCCAAAAGAAAACACACTGACCTAGATTCTGGTCTTAGAGATGGTGTAGATGCTGGAAGCACTGGGGTGCCTGGAACACCTTCCCTGAGCTGAAAACAATTCAGCACATCAATCATCATTATCAGTAAGATTAACAATGAGCACAGCTATCACACAATGTACAGATTATAGGACAGCACTGTGACATGTGCTCCAAGTGTAACACAGAACAATGTTTTACTTACATTGTAATCATCAGAAATGAAATCTGTCAACTTAGGCAACATGGACCATTAATATTACACCATTTAGGACAAAGACATCATAAATCTACCCCAATGCTACACTGAAAGCAAGACCGTGCCCTATAAATGACTGAATGCCTTGCCATGCATTTCACAGTATATTAACTGGCAGACATTTGCTTAAAGGCACCGCTCTGAAATGCATCAATGAATAATGACTGAAAGAGGACATGGAAATGAATGAGACAAAAGATGGTCACATGAATTTAATGTGTGTTCTAATGTTAAATGAGTTCGAGCCTGAATGCTAAGGCTATATAAGAAGAGTCTGGGAAAAAAGAAATAAACAAGAACCAAGCATTCACAAACCTGCAGAGATGGCACAGCATTGGGCTTCAGCCTTTTCCTCTTAGTTGCTAGGCTGGAAAAAGCTTCTGATGAAAAATGTGCCTGGCACACTCCATGACCGGGAGCCACAACACTGATGTGACATGCTTCAAGCCACTTCTGTAGGTGGACCTGTTGAAATGGGAATCTGAAAGGATCACAGTAATAAGGAAATTGGATAACTATACAATACAATGGACATCTTCTACTTCAAATGAATAATGCAAACTGACAATATCTGTCCTCTGGGTGTGCTTTAATAATTGTGTGATGTGCCAATTCATCAGAAGTACCAACTACAGACAACATGTATGTAGCCAAACATGCCTGACACATGTCAAAATGCTTGTCATCCGAAAAATAAGCAATACAAGCTGAGGCCATGCACCCATGAACTCTGCAAGCTGCGAGCATGGTGCATGACTGTCACCAATTTCAGTGAATGGTGAGCAAATTTAGTGTTTTGAAATTTGAAGAATGCCCATAAACAAAACCATTTCTCAAATTGGTGGCAACCATAAGCCCACCTCCTTGCACATGCACCCGCCGTTCAGCTGTCACGCGCGTCTGCTTTTCATTGACTTCGTTTGATTTTTGGAGGTATTTTTGCCGGATATTGCTGGAAATGCATACCTATTCCTCAAATTGAGACAAAAATTGAAAGCAACCACACTGAAGGGAAAGGTCCCACATGGACACTGCATGCGAGATTGAGACGTGCATACCCTGAACTTTGGGAGAACATATTAGAACTGATACCCAGAATGGACTGGGAGCGGTAATTTTTTACTTTGGTACCTGTATGGCCGACGGAGGGAAGAGCTACGCTAGCTGCAGGGTTTCCAGTATTGTCGTGCGGGGGAAAAGCTGTGTGGCATCGGCTGACATTGTGACGTCACTGAAAATGGTTTTGCATCGATCGGGATGGGGGTTCTTTCGGGCCGACTGAAGGCCATAAGGCTTTTGATTGTGATATGATGTCACTGGTATTCGGCTGGGTACGTGACGTCACTGGTCGTGAGTTTGTAAGGCTCTTTTGGGTCCACTGAATGCCGTAATGCATCAGCTGGCCATGTGTCGTCACTGGTATTCGATCAAACATCAGGCGCGACCGGCCTCGTTCCATCTTTACTTTTCGTACCTGTCTGCTGCAAGCATTTGCGTGCCGCATTCAGGTTTGACCGAATCACCTCAATGTGTGACGTCCCTAATCATCACTTCATACGAGTGCACTTAGGCCCCACGACCACGGTGTGTCATGGTCTGAGAAGTATCACCGGATAGCGTGACGTCACTGGTATTCCAATAAATACTGGGCGCAACAGGCCGTGCTTTATTTTTACCTTTGTATCTGTCCACTGCAAGCATTGGCGTGCTGGATGAAAGCTGCCGAACCACCTGAGTGTGTGACGTCACTGGTCACGAGTTCCACCGGTGCTTTTCGGCCAACTGAAGACCACAAGGTGTCAGTTAACGACGTCACTGCTATACGACTGATTGTAAGACGTCAATGGTCGTGGGTTTCCACGTGTCCTTTAGGACCGACGAAATGCCGTAAGGCATCAGCTGGCGATATGACGTCACTGGTATTTGGCTGAACATCAGCCAACAGGTCATGCTCCATTTATACCTTTCGTACATGTCTGCTGCAAGTATTGGCGGATTTTTTTGCGGCCAACTGAAGGCCATAAAGCATCAGCTAGCGATGTGACGTCACTGGCATTCGATTGTGCGTGTCGCTGGTCATGAGATTTTACGGCCTCTTTTGGGCCGACGAAAGGTCATACGGCACTGACTGACGATGTGACGTCATTGGTATTCGAATGAACTTCGGGCGCGACAGGCCATGTTCCACCTTTATCTTTGGTACCTGTCCATTGCGAGCATTGCCGTGGAAGGCTCTGCCAAATTACCTGAGTGTGTACGTCACTGACCATTAATTTGTATACTCTTCTGAACCTACTATAGGCCACAAGGCATCAGCTGACGATATGATGTCACTAGGCCTCGACTAGAAATCATGCGCAACAGGCCATGCTCTATCTAAGCCATGTTTCGTCTGTACCTTTCGCACCTATCTGCTGCAAGTATTCGCGCGACACATAGGGGCTCTGCCGAATTACCTGAGCGTATGGTGTAACTAGTTATGAGTTTACGCGGGTTTACTCTGGCTGACCGAAGGACATCAAGCATCAGCTGACGATACGACGTCACTGGTATTCGACTAAACTCCAGGCGCGACAGGCCATGTTCCATCTTTACCTTTCGTACCTGTCTCTTGGAAGTATTGGCGTGCTGAATGAAGGCTCTACCGAGTCTCCTGAGTAAGTAACGTCACTGGTCAAGAGCTTTTTACGGGACCTTTTGTACCCCCAAACGGTATAATGCATCAGCTGACGATATGACGTCACTGGTGTCCGACTTAACATCAGGCGCGACAGGCCATGTTCTATCTTTACCTTTCGTACCCGTCTATTACAAGTATTGACGTGCTGAATGAAGGCTCTGTCGAGTCTCCTGGGTGTGTAACGTTACTGGTCATGAGTTTTTTCTGGCTCCTTGGAACCCTCTATAGGGAAAAATGCATCAGTTGACGACGTGATGTCAATGGTGTTCGACTTAACATGAGGCGTGACAGGTCATGTTCCATCTTTGCTTTTCGTACCTGTTAAGTATTGGTGCGTTAAATGATGGCTCTGCCGAGTCACCTGAGTGTGCGACGTCACTGGTCACGAATTTTTACGACTATTTTTGGCTGAGCGAAAGCCATAAGACATCAGCTAACGAAATGACGTCACTGGTAATCCACTGAGTGTGTGACGTCACTGGTCATGAGCTTTTACGGGCCTTTTTTGGCCGAGTTCAGGCCATTAGGCATCAGATAACGTTATGGCGTCACTTGTATTCGAATTAACATCAGTTGCAATAAGCCATGTTTCATCTTTACCTTTCGCATCTGCCTACTGCAGGTATTCGTGCGCTACAAAAAGGCTCTGTCGATTCGCCTGAGCGTGTGGTGTAACTGGTCATGAGTTTGTGCAGGTTTACTCGGGCTGACTGAAGGACATCAAGCATCAGCTGACGATATAACGTCACTGGTAATCGACTAAACTCGAGACGAATCATCTGAGTGGGTGACGTCGCTGGTCATGAGTTTATACGGATTCACTTGGGCCGCCCAAGGCCACAAAGGCCCGTGAAGCATCACAGGATGATATGTCGTCACTGTTATTCGACTTAACATCAGGTCCAACATGCCACGTACTTTCTTTACCTTTCGTACCTGTCTATTAAAGGTATTGACGTGCTGAATGAAGGCTCCGTCGAATCTCCTGAGTGTGTGACGTCACTGGTCACGAGTTTTTATGGGCTCTTTTGAACCCATTATAGGTTATATTGCATCAGCTGACGACATGGCGTTACTGGTGCTCGACTAAACATCAGGCGCAACAGGTCATGTTCCATATTTGCCTTTCGTACCTGGCTGCTGCAAATATTCGCATGCTATATGAAGGCTCCGCCGAATCACCTGAGTATGTGACGTCACTGATCATCAGTTGGTAGGAGGTCACTTGGCCACCTATGGCTACGAAATTCCGCAGCAGAGGTGGGAGATGCACCATAGTTAAGCACACTAATTTTATTGTGCGCACCATTTAGTAGCAACTTCAAACGCAACGGGCTGTTTCAACGACTAAAATTTTGAACAAACGTAAACACAAAACAAAGGTGATCCCAGCCCACAAACCGACGTATATGCAAAGCTATTCCGCCCGACATCACAGGATGCGCCCCTGAGCAGCTACGGTCCGGAATGCCCTAATGGCTAAATAATAATCAAGGGCGCCGCCTAGCGGTCATAAGTCTGGGCCACAGCCCGAATATCAGTGACGTCATATGGTCAGGTGATGCTTGATGTCCTTCAGTCAGCCCGAGTAAGCCCGCGTAAACTCATGACCAGTTACACCACATGCTCAGGTGATTCGGCAGAGCCTTTATGTAGCGCGCGAATACTTGCAGTATAGAGGTGCGGAAGGCAAAGATGGAACATGGCCTGTTGCGCCTGAGATTAAGTCAAATACCAGTGACGTCACATCGTCAACTGATGTCTTGTACCCTATAGGTACAAAAAAGCAGCCCGTAAAGAACTCATGACCAGTGACATTACACACTCAGAAGATTTCACAGAGCTTTCCTTAAGCATGTCAGTGCTTACAATAGACAGGTACGAAAGGTAAAGACGAACATGGCCTGTCGCGCCTGGTGTTAAGTTGAATACCAGTGACGTCACATCGCCAGATGATGCTTGATGTCCTTCAGTCAGCCCGAGTAAACCCGCGTAAACTCATAACCAGTCACACCACACGCTCAGGTGATTGGGCAGAGCCTTTATGTGGCGCGCGAATACTTGCAGTAGATAGGTGCGGAAGGTAAAGATGAAACTTGACATATTGTATCTGATGCTTAATTGAATACTAGTGACGTCATATCGTTACCTGATGCCTAATGGCCTTAAGTCGGCCCAAAAAGGCCCGGGAAAACTCATGACCAATGGCGTCACACACTTAGTGGATTACCAGTGACGACATATCGTTTAGATGATGCCTTATGGCTTTCACTCGGCCAACAATAGCCTGTAAAAACTCATGACGACGCACTCAGGTGATTCGACAGAGCCATCATTAGGCTCGCCAATACTTTAACAGGTGCGAAAGGCAAAGATGGAACATGACATGTTGTGCCTGATGTTAAGTCGAACACCAGTGACATCATATCGTCAGCTGAAGCATTATACCATATAGGGGGTTGAAAAGAGCCCGTAAGAACTCTTAACCATTGGCGCGATATAACACGCGAATGCTTGCAGTAGGCAGGCACGAAAGGTAAAGATGGAACATGGCCTGTTGCGCTTGATGTTGAGTCGAATACCAGTGACGTCATATCATCCCGCGATGCTTCACAGGATATGATACTTTGTTGCACTGGGCTGCCCAAGTGAGCCTGTATAAACTCATGACCAGTGACGTCACGCACTCAGATGGTTCGGCATCACCTTGATATAGCACGCGAATGCTTGCAGTAAACAGGTACGAAAGGCAAAGATAGAGCATGGCCTGTTGCGCATGACATCTAGACGAAAACCGGTGACGTCATATGGTCAGCTGATGTGGTATGGCTTACGGTGGGTTCAAAGCAGTCTATATAAATTAATGGTTAGTGATGTTACACACTCAGGTAATTCGGCAGAGCCTTCCTTCAGCATTCAAATGCTTGCAATGGACAGGTACCAAAGGTAAAGATGAAGCATGGCCTGTCCCGCCTGAATTTTATTCGGATACCAGAGACGTCACATCTTCAGTTAATGTCGTATGACCCTTCGTCGGCCCAAAAGAGGCCGTAAAATCTGATCACAGGTGACATCACACACAGTCGAATGCCAGTGACGTCACATCATCAGGTTATGCTTTACGGCCCTCAGTTGGCCCCCAAAGATCCATAAACATGCATGACCAGTGACGTCACACACTCACGTGATTTGGTAGTTTTTATTCATCACGCCAGTGCTTGCAATAGACAGGTACGAAGGTAAAAATAAAGCATGACCTGTTGCGACAAATATTAAGTCGAATATCAGTGACGTCACGATACCCGTGATATTTCACGGAACATGATACACCGCGGCCGTGGGGCCTAAGTGCACTCGTATCAAGTGATGATTAGTGACGTCACACATTCGGGTGATTCGGTCAAGCTTTTATTCGGCACGCGAATGCTTGCAGCAGACAGGTACGAAAGGTAAAGATGGAATAAGGCCTGTTGCGCCTGATGTTTCATTGAATACCAGCGACGACATATCGTCAGGTGATGCTTTACGGCATTCATTGCACCCAAAAGATCCCTAAAGCCTCACAACCAGTGACGTCCCATATCCAGTCGAATACCAGTGACATCATGTCGCTAGCAAATGCCTTGTAGCCTTCAGTCGGCCCAAAAGAACCCCGATCGATGCAAACCCATTTTCAGTGACGTCACTACGTCGGCTGATACCTAGCAGCATTTCTCCATCACGGCAGTACAGGAACCCTGCGGCCCGCGTAGCTCTCTCCCCACCGTCGGCAATACAGGTACCCAAGTAAAAAAAAGCCCTGGGAGCGAGGTACTCACGCGAAAACAGTCAAATTATTCTCGTTTGTCCTGCGATCACCACACACACAACACTTTATGTTAGGCATCCCGCACCGACGCAAATAGGACACCGCTTAGGAGTGAGCACAACGCGGAAAAACGCCCCTTCGACGAGCGCCGCACAACCCGAAATTGTTCACGATTATGTTCGCGCGTCCGTCAATCTAGCAGCAGATTGATGTCCAGTTGCCAGTTGGATATTCCGGGGCGCCACGATCCCCTCCAAATTTGGTGTGCATGACCTTCTCGACACGCTGATTCCGCAAATCAAAGTCTTTAAGCTGGAATTTTGCGTAATTTCCGAGTTATACGCCGCATAACATCCCAATGTGATATTGCGGGGCGTCTCGATTGCCTCCAAATTTGGTGTGCCCGGCCTTCTCAACACGCTGATTCAAAAAATCACTGCCTTTGGGGTGGAATTTTGCGTAATTTCTGAGTTATACGCCACGTAACATCCCAATGTGATACTGCGGGGCGTCTCGATTGCCTCCAAATTTGGTGTGCAGGACCTTCTCAACACGCTGATTCAGAAAATCACGGTCTATGGGGTGGAATTTTTGCGTAATTTCCGAGTTATATGCCGCGTAACATCCCAATGTGATATTGCGCGGCGTCTCGACTGCCTTGAAATTTGGTGTGCAGGGCCTTCTCAACACGCTGATTCCGAGCATCACTGCCTTTGGGGTGGAATTTTGCGTAATTTCCAAGTTATGCGCCGCTTAACACAACAGTTGGATATTGCGGGGCGTCTCGCTTGCCTTGAAATTTGGTGTGCAGGGCCTTCCAACACGTTGATTTCGAAAATCACTGTCGTTGTGGTGGAATTTTGCGGAATTTCCGAGTTATACGCCGCGTAACATCATAATGTGATATTGCGGGGCGTCTCGATTGCCTTCAAATTTGGTGTGCAAGGCCTTCTCAACACGCTGATTCCGAAAATCACCACCTTTGGGGCGGAATTTTGCGTAATTTCTGAGTTATACGCCGCGTAACATCCCAATGTGATGTTGCGGGGCGTCTCGATTGCCTTCAAATTTGGTGTGCACGGCGTTCTCAACACGCTGATTCCGAAAATCACTGTCTTTGTGGTGGTATTTTGCGTAACTTCCGAGTTATACGACGCGTGACACTTCAGTCGCGCTTTGGAATATGTGTCCTGGAATTCTCCTTTGGGCCTGTCCGTATCAGTTCACTGGAGAAGGTCAGTTCGTGAAATGTGAGTGATAACCGTGTGGTATGTGATATCATTGACTTGGTGGTAACACCCAGCGGCATAACACCCATCCCTCTCAGCTTTGCTTCGTTTCTGACCTTTAAGGTGATGGAGTAATAGTCCGACGTAGTCACGGGCATTGTTTGTCCTGACCAAAAACTGACAAGATGTCGCTGGTGACCAAACCAATCGTGCTTCACCGCTGGAGCCTGAAAATTTGGGTGATGTCACCGTCTGTCTTATCTCCCAAGGACGCTGGTGACGCTGGTGGAATAGCGCATGCTACTTGTGCACGCCATGCCCATGTTGTTGGCTGGCCGGCCACATCAGCCCGATGCTGCTGACCGTGGTGGAGACGCTGCTTTTCGCGAGCCTGCCGGACGGCGGTGGCGACACACCGGTGGTCAGGGGGCCCGCCAGCTGATAGCCGGCCGGCCGGGGGCATCGACACACCGGTGGTCAGCGTGTTGAGAAGGCCCTGCACACTAAATTTGGAGGCAATTGAGACGCCCTGCAATATCACATTGGGATGCTACGCGTCGTATAACTCGGAAACTACTAAAAATTCCACCCCGAAGGCAGTGATTTTCGGAATCAGCGTGTCGCGAAGGTCATGCACACCAAATTTGGAGGCGATCGTGACGCCCCAGAATATCCAACTGGCAATCGGATATCAATCTGCTGTTAGATTGACAGACGTTCGCGACAAGCATTCAACAGTAAAATCTTACTAACAGTCAAACACCTTCCGTGGACTGTACCACATGTGCAGCACATGGGCGTAGGAACATGGAGGGGGACAGGGGGGCCATGCCCCCCACTTTTCAAAGTGGGGGGTAGCAATGTTAACTGCCCCCCCCCCCCCCCCACTTTTCAGATTAAGGTTGCACTTGGCTTACTTTTGCGTTAAATTAAACATGCATGCCGATTTACCTAGTTCACCAGCCATCTCTCTCAAGATGCGTCCTTTGTTCGCTTGCACATTGGACATCACTTAATGTTACAGTCGCAAGGCCGACGCCATACGGCCTGGAGACTGCAACGCCGGGCGTCGGGGCTGTTTTGCTGACTTGCGAGCACGCATGTTCAGCATCACATTACGTAATTTTCTTAGCAGTTATCAGCTTCGACAGGATCTTGAGCATTTTAAGACGAGCATGGATTAGCCATCTTAATAATATTAGGAACACTATTTGATCTACAATGTACAGTCAGGGAGAACTCAATATCTCTGAAGAGTACAGAAAGACACGGAACAGGAGTCTATGTAACAACATCGGACTGCCCACGGTGATCAGGGATGATCTGCGTCGATGAGGGTTCCTGTGCTGATCTGGGACTTACCGCGCGGATCAGAAGGCCCCCGTGTCAGGGATGGGAACAATGTGATACGATATATCCTTATAATGGCCTCTGGATCGACCAGATCCCGCCCCGTGCCACCAGAATGATAGCCAGAAGACACTTCGCGATGGGACGGAATGGCCCTTCAGCCCTTGACCAGAAACGGCAAGGTATCCCTGGTGTTCTGCCCAAGAGGCCCCTCGCCTGTAAGGAAATAAGGGGTCTAATTATTGTCGAGTAGAGTGGGGCTCTCATTGTTGAATAGAGCGGGTCGAAATGATTTAAAGAAACGAGCAAGGTCATGCCATGTTTGCCTGAGAAAGTTCAATTTTGAGAATGTATCTTTGAAACAAATTATATTAAAAGGCCTGAATACGCCCGCCCGCAACTTCGAGGGCAAGGACAATGATGGTCTGGGTTGCAACTTCCGTAAAACCGAAAAGTTTCGGCCACTGCAAGTGCCACCAGGTGGCGGGGGATTGTGAATCTGTCTGCTGGACAGATAAATAGCTGCGAAAACACGAAAAATAGAGATTTCCCTCTCACTCTTCCAGTTCAATCACTAGATTTCAGCCCCATTTCGCGGTGCTTTAGGGGCCAATCCGTTCTTTTCATCAATCTAAAAATTGCCACGTGAAATATGCGCTCAGAATGCCTTCTAAATGCGTGATCTGATATCATGAAGCATCCAAGGATACTTTTTCGGAAGTGTCGTCATTTTCGTCCAACCGTTGACCACAACTTAATATTAGCTGCTGGGCAGGTGCCGCGCGGCCTATGGAGACCAGGGCCCTAGAATGGAGACTGCAACGCCCGGGGTCGACGCTTGTGTTTCTAAAATTTTCCGCTGTGCATCTCAAAATTACGTCACGTAACTTGTATTACTAGTTGATTTAAGTGCTTTAAGGTGGTCATTTCAGAAGCGTCATCATTTTCGTCCACCGTTGGACCACAGCTAAATATTAGCTACTGAGCTAACGCTCCGCAGACTACGGAGACTGCAACGCCTGGTATCGAAGTTTCTGTTGCTAAGATTTGTGAGCGCGCATGTTAAAAAACACGTTACATAAAGGCAGTGCGTATACACCCTCCAAAATGGAGGGCGGTTACGCACCGGGCTTATACACCCTCCAAAACAGAGGGCGATTACGAAAACTCCAAAATTACGAAAACAAAACTCCAAAACAGAGGGCGATTACGCGCCGTGCTTAAACGCCCTCCAAAGACCTTTCAGATGATTACACGCGTCAGGCATAAGCGGATTGGCAGTCTTCTAGGGAAGGCGGTGCGAAAATGCAGAACCCCGTGCGAAAAGTCGGTTCTTTGCGTGATAGACATCAAACGATAACGAAATCCATCAGCTCACTCTGAACCATTTCTATTATTATCACGAATCTTCGGCCACCGGGTCCGCACCTCAAGTGGATGGGGGGTTAGCGTGCTGGTCTCGCACGCGGCAAGCCCGGGTTTGAATGTTGACGGCGGCCGCTGGTAAGTGGGTGGCTTCATAGTATATCGGCGAGATGCCATGATGCTAGCTCACCTCAGTCCTAGGCGGAATACATTCTAAATAGGGCTTTTTATATAGGACAGCACCGTAGTTTTTAACGCTATAGGGAGGGAGTCCACACCCTACAGAGATATTGAGGATCCCGTGAAATTGTAAATCTAAATGAGTTGTAAATCTATTGCTGCTGAGCTGATTGTAAATCTAAATGAGTGTAACACACTGAATAGCCGTTGGAAATGACGCATACGACGGCGGAGGCATGTAGAATTACGTTCGGCAATTGCGCGTAAAAATTCATTGGCGCGTACTCGACTGCTGCTCAAAGGTGAAGGCACCAAGGCCAATAGGGACGGGACCTGAGCAGTCATGGGTGCCGTATGAGACCAACACAGTGGCTCCCGTCAACAAGTATAGGGTTCTCAGAGCAAGCAAAGGAACTCAAGACCAACGTGGTGGCCCCAAAACGATTGGTAGTGTCTCGACGGGCTGACCTGTGAAGCCCTAGTCGTAGTACAGTGCCCTCCGAGCAAAGGGGAATTATGCAAGACTACAAATTAATGCCCCTGTGCAATCAAAAGTCATCCACAATGGGACCAAAGGTCAGAAAGCCCCCGATCAAGGTTGAGGGCCCCTGAGCATCGAGCGTGTCCGTGCGTTACCTTATAAGATCCCTAGCAAGGGCACAAGGCCCTTCAAGCAAGTAGGAAGTGCCTGATAATTATATAAAGGGCCCCTGAGCAACTGACTATACTCTGGCTTATGTGGCCCCGGAGAAAAGTGCATGTAGCCTTTCGGGCGAATGGGAAGAATCTGTGGAGCAAAACCCGATTGATCAACAATGTTCAAGCACGGAGGCAGATAGCGTTCCAACAGCACCTTGGGCCCTACAAAAAAATGGGAGGAGATCAAGGGTAACGTGGAAACCTTAGCGATCAGAATGACGCAGCAAGTGGACATGTAGGGACAAGCAGCCAACAGCGTAATGAACCCCAACACTCAGAGCAAAGCAACACTCGCTCAATCAGCGGAGAATGAATTTCGTTTACTTATGAACTCTTTACTTTTGCCAGCAATTGTTCTTGGTCATATGTGGGCCCAAACGCATCCAATTTTGTTGTGCTTTTGTTGTAAGGAAACTGCCTCAGTCCGGCCAGTTATGGGCCCCTTCGGAGCTTTAAGGTTCCCTCGGCATGGTCCATGGAACATGGTCCCGTGCCTTCCCCCGCCCCTCCCCCCCCCCCCCCCCCGGTCCTGTGCCCCCGACGAGAGTGCAGGGCCCTAAGCAAGTGATAGAGAATTGGAAACGCCCTAGACCAGTGTAGAGGACCCATGGGCATATCGCAAGTGTGTCGGTAGGTTAACCGCTACCCACGTAAAGGGCCCCTGAGCAACCCAGAATACCTCGGCAGGTTAATACGCGGTCGGGTGGGGGAGATCAAATTGACCCCTCCTCCCAAAGGTTTTTCCAGAATGGTTTCCGAACGGCACGGCGTAGCCGCGCCAAATTTTGCATACCTGTAGACAATTGAATAGTGGATCATTTTGCGTCGACAATTTAGATGTACCTTGTCAGGTCGCTGACGTATGGCAGGTCAAGGTCAGTCCATGGTTTCGGCGAAGGCAATTTCTAGGGAATTCTTTAATCTGATCCCACAACGGAGTGTTAGTTGGCTGTAAATAAACCTTTTCGTATTTTGCGGGCGTGTAACTCAGGAACCAGAACGTTTCCAGTCTTAAATTGGGCATTTCCGTGAAATGCATCAAAATGTCTTCAGGATCGCTGTTTCAGTTCAAAACGCCATACAAATGTGGAACATTCCCGAGCTCATTTTCTGGTTCCTGACATATTGCCTCTTTACGTTCTCGTTAGTCCCACTGATTTCTCTCGACTTCGATGCCGTATTTTGATCACACATGAGTACTTCAGCAAGCGCACAGCGATAAAATCATGTTATGTTGCCTTTTCCCAGCATTTCAGCTTTGCCGTTTGTGCGCATGCGAGGGTGTCGGGCCGTCAGCTCTTGTAATTCCAAAATGAGAGTCCCGTCTTTTGCTTAGTGGGAGGGTATGACTACAAGTCAACGAGTGTAACCACTGCGAGTGATGAGTGTAACCAGTGGGCTCCGGATGGGGATGTAGTGATATGCACCCCAACTCTCTAACGGGATTTCCTCCCTCTCCTCCAGCTTCTCCCGTACACGATGCCTTTTCATGTTTTCTCATTTAAAATGTTTTAAGATTCTGTCTTGACCCTTTACTGCTGATAAGTCCAGAATCTCCGGATGTGGTTACACCCATGACAACAGACAGTATTTACGCGTGGGCCCAAGGTGGTGCCGCGGACGCCCGGGTGTCGGCGGCACCGCGTCCGCAGGTCGGCGCCCCCGCGCGGTATGAACGCGGCCGGTTGGCAGCCATATCTGCGGCGTGCCCGTAGTCGCCCGACTCGTGCCTCACCGGTCTGAGGCACGCGAGCTGCCGTGGCATGCGTCTCCGCGAGATCGAGCAGGCTAACCGCCTTCCAATTTAGCACCATTATTATTATTTAATCCATTTCCATCGTTTAATTTATTTAATATACAAATATATTAATTTAATAAATTCCAATCCACCATTTCATCACTATTATAATTAACCGTCGTTTACTTTGCATCCCGTGCAACCAATCATTGTAAACAGGGGTGTAGTCATCATTCAGCTAAGCAAAGGGCTCAAGCCCCCGCCCCCCCCCCCCAAACCAAAGACAAAATTGGAGACGTAATTGGACGAAATCCGGAGAGCTACTGGCGAATTTTGGGCAGGCTTCAATATTTTTCACTGTCCAGCCTCCGCCTCTAACTTATTTTGCGAAATTGCACCCTTGAATGCTAAGTTATCAGGTCGACGACCAGCGTACTGGACCAATCATCCCCATTAGGTTTCTGGTGCGCCTCTGGGACGCCTCCGTGCTTCGTGGCTCAGCTTGCTCATCGTTTGTTGTTCTGCCTGCTCCACGGCCGATGTGTACGGTCCCGCTATCATGGCGTAGTGTTCGCAGCAGAGTAGCCCCGGCACAACGTACCAGGACGGGAGGCATTCAGCCAAAAATTTGGTTGGGTTCGGGCCTGGCCGAGATTGAGCGCGGCTGGATTCAGCTCAGGTTTGATCCGGAAAGCCCAAGTTAATTTTATGCTGGACGGTGTGACTTTGTTCTGTCCTAAAAGCATGGTCACACGCGGTGCGCTGGAGCAGCGTGCAGCGACGGCCAGCGGGTGCCCGCCGCTCCCGGACGCCGGACCGCCGGCGACGGACGCGACGCCTGGTGGCAGCTGACCGAAGGCCGTCACAGGGGTCGGCTCAGCCGGCGACGCCAGCATGCTCCAGGGCGCTAAAGCGCGTCAGCGGGTGATGAGAGACGCTCCCACTACGAATATCTTAGTAAGTCTGCATCCTCACGTGTCGCGCCGCTGGATTAGAAAATATTTCTGCTGGAGCTGAGCGCCATGGGTCGCGCGTGTACCGGCTGCTTTAAATGCGTTGAGGGGCGAACTGACAACGGTGTGACTGGAACTGGTCGCGTTTGACATCGTCTGACAGACATTGCGTTAGACATTGACATTTGACATTTGACATCTCATACGCGTTCAGGGTCATTGATGGTTTTACATCGGTGTTTCCGTCGCTGACGAAACGTGCTAGACAAAAGACGGTTTATTGGCGACATAAAACACATATCACAATATGACTTCCGCAGAACATAATAATCATCGCATAAAAAATACAAGGATCAAACTACGACAATCGTAATGTCTGGATTTACCCTCATGGAAGAAACGAAAGCAGGTGACGTAAACAAAACATGGGTTGTACACGCTGTCTAACCGGCAGCAACGAAAGCAGGACCCACATTCGGATAAGAAGCACAATGATCACCTCGGATGCAAGCTGATACAGTCGAGAGATATCATTTTAATAGAATGTGCAAAATCAACGATAGCTTCGTGACAAGCAACCCTGATTGCATGGCAGGCGGATATACGACAGAGAGCGAATTTAGCCTCTCGCATGATGACCTCTGACACGACAGAGGCAACAGGTTCGTCCGCTCTTCCCGCATAACGACTCTGCCGGGAAGCTACAGGGGTTCTACAAGTCGACACATGCTCTCCCACTATACACATAAGTCATCAAGTTCTCCACGCACATCTGCCATCGTTCGCTCTGACTTCCCCCAGCCCACTTCCGTCCGACAGCATTGCCCGAGCCGTGGCAGGCCCGAGCCAGCATGGTCAGCAGCCATCGCACCGCCCGGCCAGAGCCAGCGCTGGGCCGCTGCGGCGAGGATACTGACCACTCAGTCGAGTCTCCGTCCTCCCACCCCCGACGCACTCCGCCGCACGTGAGGACGCGGTGAAGGTCGACACTCCGCCACAATGGCCGCCGTGAGCATGCTCGCCGCGGCCCTCCCCGCGACCTTCCCATTGTCCGGGCGGTTGTCTTCGTCCCTGGCTAGCGGATTCTCTGGGACGGCCAGGCAGTGATCCTCCTGAGTCCGGTGGTTGAAACATCAGAGCCGGATGCTGGCTCCTGGGTCGAGCGTGTTCGCAGTACCCGCACTGTGTCAGCCAGATCGATCGACGCGTCCAGCAACGAGCCAGACAAATGAGACATTTCATGTGTTACCGCGGTCAGTGGTCGGAGCGCCTAAGCGATCTCGCGTGTCGTCAGAGAGAGGACCGATGTACGCCGTGAGGAGTCCGGAGCCGTGCTCAGTACACGTACTGCGTCAGGAAGAGGACCGATGTACCGCCGTGATGAGTCCGGAGCCGTGCGCAGTACTCGTTCTGCGTCAGGGAGAGGACCGATGTACCGCCGCGAGGAGTCCGAAGCGGTGCTCAGTACTCGTACTGCGTCAGGTAGGTGGAGGAGAGGACCGATGTACCGTTGTGAGGAGTCCGGAGCCGTGCTCAGTACTCGTACTGCGTCAGGTAGGCGGAGGAGAGGACCCATGTACCGTTGTGAGGAGTCCGGAGCCGCGCTCAGTACTCGTACTGCGTCAGGTAGGCGGAGGAGAGGACCCATGTACCGTTGTGAGGAGTCCGGAGCCGTGCTCAGTACTCGTACTGCGTCAGGTAGGTGGAGGAGAGGACCCATGTACCGTTGTGAGGAGTCCGGAGCCGTGCTCAGTACTCGTACTGCGTCAGGTAGGTGGAGGAGAGGACCGATGTACCGTTGTGAGGAGTCCGGAGCCGTGCTCAGTACTCGTACTGCGTCAGGTAGGTGGAGGAGAGGACCCATGTACCGTTGTGAGGAGTCCGGAGCCGTGCTCAGTACTCGTACTGCGTCAGGTAGGTGGAGGAGAGGACCCATGTACCGTTGTGAGGAGTCCGGAGCCGTGCTCAGTACTCGTACTGCGTCAGGTAGGTGGAGGAGAGGACCGATGTACCGTTGTGAGGAGTCCGGAGCCGTGCTCAGTACTCGTACTGCGTCAGGTAGGTGGAGGAGAGGACCGATGTACCGTTGTGAGGAGTCCGGAGCCGTGCTCAGTACTCGTACTGCGTCAGGTAGGTGGAGGACAGGACCGATGTACCGTTGTGAGGAGTCCGGAGCCGCGCTCAGTACTCGTACTGCGTCAGGTAGGTGGAGGAGAGGACTGATGTACCGTTGTGAGGAGTCCGAAGCGGTGCTCAGTACTCGTACTGCGTCAGGTAGGCGGACCGGCGCTTGATCAGGGAGAGGTCACAGCTGCGCCGGTTCTGCAGCTTGTTGTCTTGGCGCGGCTGAGGTGCGCGCTCTGGGGACAGGAGAGCACGTCGTGACAATCTACACCGGGTGCTGGTGTAAGTCATGGGGTGTTTTTGTGTTTTTGGGGCACAGCTAATATTTATCACGCGATGTCTATCCAAGTCGCTTGCACGCCACAAAAATGGAAACACAAATATCGGCGCTGCGGTCACGGGTTACCTGAGTCTGGTGCCGTGAGTAATTCCATAGGACCCACGGCATAACATAACAACACAATCACAGTTAGGCATGAATCTGGTCATGAAACTGGACGCACGCCAAACTGCACGTGCTTCGCCCGACAACGAGACCCCCTCCGCCGCTGTGTCAGGAGCGCGGTCAAAGCCGTGGTCACTGACCCTTGCGCCGGAGCACGACCTCGGTGGGGTCAGAGGGCGTCTCGCAGAGGATGCTGTGTGGCCGGATCTGGTCGCCGTGCACGCCAGCCGGTGCGCGGCCGCGGCCACGGCGCCGAACAGAGCTGGTCCGCAGCACGACCGGCGCGCCACCTGCACCGAACTGCGGGCTGCCGGTGGCGCCGCCGGCGGCAGCGCGGCGCAGCACCACCTCGGCTCCCTCCGTGCTGCTCATCGACGACTTGGACGGCGTTGTGGACGGCGAGTGGCCTGGGTAGGGGGGGGGGGGGTTGAGGTCAGACGACCGTAGCGCGTGGTCTCGCGTCGGGGAATGTGGGATTGATAAGCAGATGACGAGGTGAATCTTAGCGCCACATTTTAAGTGCCAGGGTACACAAAATTCCATCCCCGCAATGACAATGATCTTTTCGAAGGCTTCTGGAGAGAATCGGTGCTCGCAGTTTCATGGTGAGACTATTAAATGTACCAACACCGAAAGGTTGTTGACCCCGGGCTTAAGCAATACTGACGTTATCAAGAGCTCCAGTTTACTGACACAATGCCTTCTCAACGTACCAGCGGAGTCCAACGAGTCGTTGTGTCGTTTGTTGACGCCGTTTCGAAGCGTGACGTCATTCGTCGCTTTCTGTTTCGTATTGTAAATATCCATCTCCGGCCTCACTGAAAAAGACGTAAAATTCGGTCACGCACCACTCTGCATTTAAGCGGTGGCATCAATGACTGATGAAACTCAGCTGCTCAAAACAAGCGTAGCTCGCTTCGCACTGAATCGATCAGTAGCCTAGGCAACTGTAGAGTAAGTCTTTGCGTCTCCATATGGATGGCAGTTTCATACGTTGGTAGCTCGAATTCCATGCTAGTTAATATAAGCCGCAGCCTCGCTAGTACCATATTGAACCAAGGCACGAAAGCTATGAAATATTAGCGTTCCGATGAGCAGCCTATGCTACAGCTCCTTCTTTAGAATAAGACATACTCGGATACCTATTTTTGTCTCCGAATAGCCGGGAAAAATTTGTCGAATGCACGTCTTCTCCACCTATTGAACAACCTTGCTATTCAGCTAGTCTTTAATTTGGGGCGTACGGTAATCCGCTTATTGGCTGAGCGTTTGCAAACGGCCTCACTCAGACAGGATTGTACCTGAGGCTCCTTTGACCCAATTTTTCACTCAGACGCCGCATTTGAGCCGCCCGCGCTGATTTCACTCTGCAGGCTCCTCAAGCCTAACACATAATTCGCCGACTCAGCCTGACCGGCCTGAGCCGCTTCTGGCTGACGTACTCCACTGCTCTGGCATGTCAAATCCTCCAGTTCGCTAGCTTAACCAAGCGCCGACTGAACCCCTCCGCCTGGCGCACCGCACTGCTCCGACGCCACCCACCCCTTCTCCCCTGCTTTACTTATCCGTTCGCCAACTCACTCGACTGTCGGTTGAGCCGCTTCTGGCTGGCGTAGTGCAGCTGGCGTCGCAGCACGAGGCCGGCGTCCATCTCGCTCTTTTGGCGGCGCATGAGGCGGCCGGCCGAGCCGCCGCCGCCCCACACCTCGCGCTCCACGCGCTCGCAGAGCCGGTCGATGGCCGGGCTCGAGTCGCTGAGCGAAGAGCGCAGCGCGCGCGGCGTGCCAGAGCCAGAGCTGAGCGTCGACAGGTTGCTGCTGGACATGCGCAGCACGCGCCGGCGTTCCTTGCTGCCCTCGGTGGCCTTCTTCAGTACCTGCGGGTGGGGGGGGGGGGGGGGGGGGGGCCGTCAGCGGTGGCGAGGCCACACTGGGGCGCGGCTGGGCAGGGTCGGGCGCGAGGTGGGGGACATGGTGGTAGGTGTCGGTCAGGAGACAGATCGACCAGCTAAGTGTCTGCTAGGGAATGCGACTGGAGTCGGAGGCTGAGGGAACAGGGGTGACGGAAGCACAGAGCATGTGACAACGCTGGGAGTGATAGGGGCACATGACCAGTTTTTAGAATGAAGCGTTGGATGCAGAACGAACTTGGCACGAAAGTTTGCAAACGAACGAAAGCGGAACGCATACAGAGCCCATTGTCTGGAAATTTGACTGGCTTTGCCTTCATGGCGGCGTCATCACCATGGCGCTGGAGGGAATATTTGCCGTTCATCATATCCTAACGGCCTGAAAACCAAATATACGGAGATGCATAAAGATACGTAAGAACAATAAACTTCGCAGAGACTTGTGCCGTCGTTTAGCGTGTTATTATGTCGCGCAGATGTTCCTGTCGTGAGCGGCTGTTATCCGGCGAACACCGACGAGACCCGGCTGGTGCTCGGCGAACACCGACGGGACCCGGCTGGTGCTCGGTACCGGTCGCAGGCCGAGCACGCCAGAGGACCGGTGTCGGACCGTGAGGAGCGCACGTGCAGCTCGCGGGCCGGCGCTCGGCGCAGCGGCTGCAGGTCAGCTGCGGCCAGCTGACCGCGCGTCACGTTCGCCGCCGTTCCATCGGTCTCGCCGCATGTAGGTCGTCACGGCTACGTGCGTGAAGGGAGGCGGGGGCAGGGGGGGGGGGCGCACACGAGCGGGCCCGCCCTCTTCCGCCGCCCGCCCGCGGTTGACCCTGGCGTGGGCGGGGCAGCCTTCACGCCCTAGGCCACGCCCGGTGGCGTGCTGCTCTCCGACGGACCCCAGCGCCTGGGCCGCCGGCTTCCTGGCGGCACGCGGCACATGCCATCTCTGATCCCCATCGGCGGCACTCGCGCCGATTGAAGCCCGGACGGCAGCGGTCCAGGCGCCCCCGGACACGCCGTAATAAGCGCGCGATTAGGCGATGTGAGCCATCCCAGATGACGGCGAGAACCCCGCCCGATCATCGCGCGGACGGCGGCAGATTATCGCGTCGACAGCGGCAACAACTGACGCGACTATCGCCGGCAGCGTAATTGGCCAGCGTATTTGAATAATGGGACGCGGGCAGCGCCATGGCCCTGCCGCCACGATTAGCCGGGCTCATTGCACACCCCTCGGTCTCGACACGGTGCGGCGGGTTCATTACTCGGCCGGCGCAGTTCGCCCTCTCGCCGCGCGCAACAAGTGGCGCCACCTCCGCGCCGGGGCCGGCGAGTTGGGACCGATCTGGCCGGGCGATTACAATCGCGAGCGCCTGTGAATGGGGGCGGCGCGGGCGACGAAAAGGACTCCGTCCTGGGCGTCGCGGGTCGCACCTGTCCTCCGTCGGCGCGACACGGCCGCCTAATGGCCGCTTTGATGCAGCTCTGTTGACCGAGGCGGCCAGCCGCGGCGATAGTGGATCGCGGGCCAGCCACGCGGGGCGCAGAATGCAATCTCAGCCCGCATCGATGCCGCTGAATGGTGCCGCCCCTCCACGCGCGATAAAACAGCGGCCCTGCCGTCCAGCGGGCGCTGGGTTACGGCCAGCACGTCCCGTCCGTATCGAGCCGGCGGGGCGAAGGCGGGGCGACGGCGGGTCGGCGGGCTCGCGCCGAACCGTCGCGACCGGGCGGCGGCCCGGCGGGACCCCCGTCCAAACCCAATTCGCCGCGTCGGACAGCGCCGGACGCGGCGATAAGGTCGGGATTCCCGCCGCGGAGGCCGGGCGGATGCCCCTCCGACAGGCACCGGCAGACGAATGTCGATTGTCAACCCGGCGACCCTGCAGGCGGCGATGGGGCGCGGCGAAGGGTCAATCAGGCGCGGCCGGCCGGCGCCGCCCAGCTGCAGGCTGGCCGCCGCCGAGCCTTCCGACTGGTGGCGGCCTGCAACAGCCGCTGCAGCGTCCCCGCCACGCGGGATGCTCGCCGGCGCGGCGTATGCAAATGCAGCGCAGAGACGCGACATGTGGAGACCGAGAGGCGGGGAAATATAACAGGAGGAATAAATAAGCAGCAGCAGGGACAGAGCGCGGAGGGCGACGACAGCTGGTGAGCGCCTCTCCGGCTACCAGCCGCCAGCCAGCCGATCGGAGACAGTTTTATTGATCTGGCCCTTGGCGCCGATTTCCAATGCACCACGCTAAATGAAATACACGTGGATCCATAATCGTTGAACGGGACCCAGCGGTTCCGTTGTAACTGAGGCGTTACGGTGACAGCTGTTCTGCGTAGGTCTTCTGGTTTCTCGGTGGGCGAGCATGAGACGACCGCACGGAAACTGTGTTCATAGAAATGACGCAAAATGGATGAAGGAAAATAGAGAGGGATGCAGGGAAAGACAAACTACATATTGAAGGAGACAACGAGACCAGCTGAACGAACGAGCATGGCATTAAGGAAACAATAGAGCGAGGGAGTGATGGAGAGGCGGCACGGCGTAGCGGTAGGCTAAAAGTGACATAAAAAGCGATCAGAAAGCAACAGAACAAACGAGGACGCGAACTATGCCACAGGGCGAAGGAAGAGCAATACGAATGCGAAGAGCAGTCGTGCGCGGGAGAGTGGGATATGCACACACCAGCGGGGAGCAGCGGCGCCAACGAGCCGGGGGTGATCAGAGGCGGCCGCGCACTGGATGTGACCGCGGCCGCAGCGGAAGGTGGCGGAAGCCTCTGCGGCGGCGGGGCGCCGGCCCGCCGCCGTCGGGGGCCGGCGGTGATCGGAACCGGCGGTCTGTGGCCGGCCCGGAAGCGCCTCCGTCGGCGGGCCAACCGCCCCGCCGACAGCTGACCGCTGCGGGCGGCGCTGCCCAGGGGCGCCGCCAGTCACCGCCCAGGGGAAGCGGGGAAGCCACGAGACACGAGGTCCGCAGGGGCGGCCATGACTGTGCCGCTCTCAGTTCTCATGTGCCTAGGACTAGCTTGTGTTTTTTGTTAGCGGAAACACCGGCATCGGCGAGCAAACGTCGCGGACGGGCCCGTCCAGAACTTCCGTGCATTTGTCATTGGTCGAAATCCGCCAACTCCACGGCGTCTCACTACGCGGCTGTTTGGATCGCCCCACTGCTGTCATATGCCACGTAAATCATCACGCCCTCGGCCGCCCGTGCACGCCTGTGCCCCCGCCCCCCTCACTTGTCACACAAACGGCACGGCTCATGATCAGGGGAGCGGACCGTGAGACGGGCGCCAGGCCGGCCGCCGGCGGAGGAGGCCGCCGCCCGGCCGGCACCCGACGCGGAGGAGGCGGCGCCGGCGCACCAGCTGGCGAGTGACGACGGTCAGCTGCAGAGCCGCATCCGGCGGTCACCGGTCGGATGTGACTGTACGGCGCAGGAATTCGGAAAGGGGAGGGGACGCGACTCATGGCTCCGAGATGAAGACGGAGGTCCTGGTGTTGACGATCGCTTTTTGGATGACTCAGGGCGCATCATTGGTGTGTTAGAGTATAGACAAACGGCGGGAGGTAGCCAGTCGCTGCAACTTGTTAGGTTTGTCGTCCTTTTTAAGAACTCAACAGCGCGAAAAACTAGTTTTCGTATGCAGTTCCCAGCGTTATGTTAAGCGCATATTTCAAACATGCCAGAACACCCACAAAACCAGTCTTAAGAATTCCTTTCCCACCGCCAGCTTCATGTAACCTCACAAATGCGCTTTGAGCAAAGCCCCCCCATGTTATCGGCCAATCGCAAACAGAAGGCCGAGCGTGCGCAATCCTTTCAGTCCGCTGCGTACCGAGTCCTTTGTCCCGGATCGACTCCAGAGCGATCACCGTGCCCGGTGGGGGCATCATCTGATGGATGGCAGCTAACATGTGCCGACCAGGCAGCGCCGATCGCTTCCGAGCGATTGCCTCCACAGCGGCGACGGGACGGGCTGCGCTGTACGTCCCATTCGGCCGGTCACGCGCGATCCCATCAGAGCGCCGCCGTCCACCCGCCAGCGCTGGCCAGTGACCACGCACGCCTCTCCCTCCGGTAGGCCCCGCAGACGGCAGGCAAAGGCGGGCGCGCGCGCGCCGCCACGTGCGTGTGAGTGCGTGTGTTCGAAGCACACGGCTCGCGCTCATGGGAACCGCCGGCGGCAAGGGCCGTTCGGCGTGAGACGTCCGAAATGGCAGCGTTCGGTCCCGCGCCCCTCCCCCCGCACCAAGGCGTTTGCGAATTGGGTCAGTGTTATGTCTAGCAAGCTTCCTAGCCGAGACGTTATTGTGAAGGATCGCGTGGACGGGATGCCGCGAGACCTGGTCTTCATTTATCAGGGAATGAGCTGGAGCAGGTTCGAGGCGTCGAATGAGAACTTCCTGAGACTGATAGCGTTTATACGGAGAAGCCAAGCTTCGGAGACGGATGCCATGAGCCAGGTGGATAGCAGCGTGATCGTTTACACGGGACCAAAATAAATTAGCGGGTGTAATCCCCTCCGCGGCGCCGCCGACCGGCGCCGCCGGTCCCAAACTGGCCCGGCGGTGCGCTTTCCCGCCGATGCCAAGATAACACCAGCCCGACCAAAACAAGGGATGGGGCGCCCAGGTACGGACCGAATGAATGATGACGTAGCTGGATGCGTGGGAGGCCTGTCACCCGTCGGCACGGCTGAGTTCACACTCTGGAGAGAGGCCGCCAGAGCGGTGGCAGGCTTCCCGGAGCTGGGAAGGTTCGGTTCAGTTCAGTTCAGTTCAGTTCAGTTCAGTTCAGTTCAGTTCAGTTCAGTTCCGTCCAGTTTCGTCCAGCTCAGTTTAGTTTAGTTTAGTTTAGTTAAGTTAAGTTTAGTTTAGTTTAGTTTAGTTTAGTTTAGTTTAGTTTAGTTTAGTTTAGTTCGGTTCAGTTCAGTTTAGCCCAAATCAGCTAAACTCCGCTCAGCTCAGTTGTGAGAGGTGCGCGGCGGTAAGTCAGCCTGAAGCGATTGCCGTGTTTGTTTTCCACGTGCCCGCGAGACATCACACTTCTGCACGTGCAGCTATATCACGGGAGAGGTCAAAGGACTGGTCCTGCGGGAGCTGAACGCCACGCCGCCCTCACGGATCCCCCGAGGGGGTCCTGCAGACACGCCGGTCGACGACGCGCTCGAGAGACACCGCTGACAGGAAGCGCCGCCGCAGCGTCTGCTCACGCACCGGCCACGGAGGCCGCGCGGCTGGCCGGCCGGACGGATGGACATCAGATAACGCCCCGGCCGCAGGAAGAGCCGATCGCCGCGGCGGCCAGTGCGCACGCAGATGGGCAACACCGGCTCCTGCGGCGTACCATCGAGTCCCGTCCTTCCATGGTCGGGGCTGCGACGCGGACAGTGGCGCGGCAGCACAAGCCGTCGTCTAGTTTCCTCAGGTCGGTTGAGAGTCGGCGGGGTCGGGAGGAGGACGGCAACGACGGCAGCGCCGCCTGGCGTCGACCTCCACGAGCCGCCGCCCGAGCCCAGCACCGGCAGGTGTAATGACACGTTCACAATGCCGGTGTTGGGAAGAAGACGGATGGCCGTCTGCCCGGCATGAACGGAGCGCACGCGAGAGCGGGCCGTTAATAGAGCTCCTGGGACGTCGGGAGACGCCTTGGCAGCGCCGGGACGGCCCGGCGCGGCCTGTCCTGCTCCGGGCCGGGGGCGGCACACCCGCTGCTAGCCAGTGGCAGTGAAGCCAGCGGGGGTGCAGAGGTTTCGGATTAGCACAGGAAACCCCAACGAGAACCCTTGAAACCGATATCTGGCGATAACAGTGGGCACTGTCAGGAGACACGTGAGTAAAGCGCCAGGAGACAGGAGCAGCCGACCCACAGTTCAACCACGCAAAGAGCTTGACACGGTGGATGTGCGCCGCAGCATTTCGGGTCGAACAGAGGTCAGGCAAGATACCCTTAGCAGTGACCGAGAAGTCTGTTGGTGCACATACGGTCCACGTGAAAGGTCCTTATGGACAGCGCAATGAATTTATGAGGGGGGGGGGGGGCGGTGGAGACACCATCAGCCGAGCAGTCATGCCGGGGCGGCTTGGGTCGAGAGCAGCGCCTGACCGACGGCCGCTGGCAGCCAGAGCAGCTGTGAGCCCGCGATGGAAAGTTGACGGGTCAAGTGAGGCCAGACGCCCTCCGTCAGTGGCGAAGTTCAGGGTCCATTACCAGAGAGGTCGCTGGCTCGGCATCGGCTGTTCGTGGAGTGGTCCGTAAATGTGAGTAGAGTAAGTAAAGTCGTCAGAGTGGTCAATTAAGTCTGGCAGTCGAGAGGACACGAGGTGTAGGCCAAAATTCATATGAAGAGAGGCATTTACAATGTCAGCATTTGCGTAGATGTCTTTCACATGATTTGCAAACACGGTATGATCTCTAGAACTGTGTCACTCAGTCAGCCTTCGACTTGTTTGTCCTCGCTCAACAAAAGGATGGCGCATTCCTGAACAGCCGTCTTCGGCTCGCCAAGGACCTTCGCGCGTCTCGGCCACTGTTTAGAACCGGCCGGTTCGTCGTTGAGAAACGGGCTCGTGAAGCTAAACTGATGACGGCGTCATTAATAAAGATGGAAGCCACAACCCTTGGCGGCCGGCCCGGTACGTCACGGCGCCATCAAAATCGGGGCCTTTCACTCGCGTCTAGCGGCCGCGTTAGCGATTCCGCCGAAGCGATCCGTTTCAGCAGAAGCCACGGACCGCCATCAGAAAGTCGGACACTCTGGTGACGAATCCCCCTCACTTGGTGTGCGTGGCTCGAGTCCGATTTCCACAGAGGTGGAGTGCGGTGTGGGCGGCATTGCGCGCCGGAAGCGAGCCGGCGATTCCGAGATAGGGCGGCCGGCGACCGGCGAGGCCGTCCGAGGAAACACCACGGAGCTCGGAAGTCCATGACGGCGCTCGGAAGCCCATGACGCCGGCGCGGAACACACCGGAAGCGGGCGAACCGGCAGGAACACGCGAAAAACCGAGGGAAGCCGACTGAAAACTGACGAAAACCGACGGAGGCTGATGCGGGGATGGCCCGGAAGTCGAACTGACCCAGGGGGGGGGGGGGTCAGCCAACCAAGCGGCTCCGTCCATTATCGGGCCGAACATAGAGGGATCATGGATCGACGGTCTGAGCCCGAGGAGTCCGACAATTCATCAGCCGGCGTGACATCGGGGTCAGACGTCAACAAAGTAGCGGAAATTTCTCACGAGGTACCAGCCTAAAGAAGCCCCGGCGCACTCCAGGCATCGCCCCTCCCGCCGCATTTACATGGCTGATTGAGCGGGCGTTTCGCCGAGCTCACCTTGTACCAATGGTCGAGGACGTCCTGCGTCGACCTGATGAGCAGGCGTCCCTCCTTGGGGTCGATGATGGCGACGGTGGCCATGCCACGCAACCGGTCCCACTCCACACCGCAGAGCGAGGCCAGGGGCAGCTGCCGGAGGGCACGACAGGTTACGGGCCAGGTCACCAGGGTCACCGGCGCGATCGGCCGGGCTCGGAGCACAAGCTCAGGTGCGCGCCGGGTCGGCAAGGTCAGAGGATCGCGGCTGGAAGCCGGTAGCAGGAGGTAAGTGGTAGCTACTCATCGGTTCAGAGGTCGGAGGGGATGATCCTGTAATCACGGGGTGTTGGCGAAAGTGCCGCACCGAATGGGCGAAATTGCCAGCCAACCCGGGACTGTCAGGCACCTTCGGCGGTTCGGAACAAACCGCGATATACCGTAATTGAATAGCCAGGGGGTTTTGTGAGTCGGGGACCGCAGTGAATGGCCGCAGTGGTGTTGGATTAAGTCGTAACTCTTGCAAACCCGATAGCGTTGATCACGTGCATCATTGTGACCGTTTCAAGAAACGCGGTCTTGCTCTGTTCGATTACTATCGCGCTCTCACCACCAGTGTAACACCACCAGACCAGGTGCGTGGCCTTGTGTGCGCAAAGTGTGCTAACCACTCGACAGTTAGCTAATCCGCCCGCAAAAACCGGCTCTGTGCAAAAACCGAGACGACATCCAACGGCGGGGCAGACAGCGCTGCTGAGTCAGACAGCCAGCTCACTGATCTCCGTGGACCCGCTGGAGCGATCGTCGACGATTGCAATCATTCCGCGGTGCCCTTGGCGGGTAGAGCAACAGAGACGCAGACGTTATCGGCTTCACTATCCTCCGGCTCATACCCAAGCACCAGCAGAGCATACTTATCGCGCACTTTTTCAAGCGTGTTCCTCACCTTAAACAGAAACGCTCCCATGTCAGAGTACTGGCTCTTGGCTTTTTTGAAGCAGGAGAGGTAATCCTTGGTGAGGATGAAGTACCGCTCCTTCCAGTTCCAGCGGCTCAGCAGCGTGTCCTTGCAGTACCAGATCACCCCTTTCTTCAGCGTGCAGGCGTCCTCGCCACCACCCTCCCTCACGCTCGGCGACATCTGGAAGGGGAGAGAAAATAAGCAGCCGTCACAGACTGGCACGGACGCGGGTCCATGTAATTACCTTCCAAGCTCTAATCGGTTTCGCACGCGGTGGTCGCAGAAGCGTGTCAAGCTGCCCGAAAGTGTGATTGCGTGAGAGAAACCGTAAACAAGTGGTAAACTTGTTGTAACTAACCACCGTCAGGACCGAGCCGGCGAGGAAGTCAGAACAACATCCCACGAGAAGTGGCGGGCTTCGACAGCAGCGGGCTGGCGGACTTCAACAGGCGCCGGCGACTCGCAAGACAGTTCCGCGAAGGCACTTGGCGGCCGTCGGGGAGGAAGTAAACGAATCATCTCTTCCGGATGAGTGGCGTCATGCAGCGGCTGAGCCCGGCCGAGCGCGGCAGCTGGCGGGACGGCAGCAGGGCGGACTGACGCCACCGACCTCGCCTCGCCGACGCAAGCGCTGCAGACTCCAGAGAGCGCACATCACACCGGCCATCGTCCGCGCGCACACGCCGCGCGGCCGGCGCAGTGCGCACGCCGGCGGCCATCACTGCCGCTACATTATTGATGACGCGCGTTCGCCCGGTGTCGGCCACACCGGGCAGCAGTGGGTCCACCACCGTGGCCTGCGGGCGCCAGACGGGCCACCGGCCGGGCGCAGCCGCGCTCTGTCGCCGGAGATACCATCTCCCTCGGACGAACAGGACGTGGTCGTCCGCTCGAGACGAGGCGGGAGCCGGTTCCTCTGTCCCCTCCACTGCCTGGTCACGACGCAACGTTCCGAGATAGCACGCGCTGAGCGTAAGAGCCACCTTTCAGTCCGGCGCCAGCCCGTCGCGCGCTGGCCGGGCGCGAGCGCACCGAAGGCCAGCAGCGTGTTCAAACGCGCGGACGACGCTCTGCTTCACTGAGGGGTGTGTTTGGATGTGCGGGTGGACCATGCGTCCAGTGAGTTGGTACCGAACAAGGAGGTCCTCGGCGCAAGACATGGGTGAACCAAAGGCGCGGCGATGACACAAATGGACGCCTTGGTTCTCCGGGAGCCGGAGTCGGATGATAATGGTAAGATGACAGGACTCCGGTCAAATGACACAGAGATGGTCACAGGTCCAACGCGAGCGATCCAAGAAGAGGGAGGACTGCAGCAGAGGCATGTCGGGACCGGCAGGGGTGAGGAGCATCGGGAGGTCACGAGGAGCGGTAAGTCAGGAGCAGCGGCAGGCCAGCACAGCCGGCGATGAGAGACAGCGCCGCGGCGCGCGGCCGTGCGGCGGGCCTACCGACGGCTGGAGCGAGAGGGAACGCGGCTGTCGGCCGCCTCGGCGCCGGCAGAGCAGGGCGCGACGCAGCCGGCGCACCGCAAGCGCCAGCCGCAGCACCTGCAACAGCGTCATGGCCTGGCCTGCCCGGAAAAGGTGCCGTCCCTCCGGGGAGAAGCAACGGGCCGCAGGCCGCCGACAGGGACGGGTGGCACTCAGCGGGCCAGATCAGGGTCGGGGAAGGTAGGTGTCATTATCCGGGCCGCATGCCGCCGACAGGGACGGGTGGCACTCAGCGGGCCAGATCAGGGTCGGGGAAGGTAGGTGTCATTATCCGGGCCGCATGCCGCCGACAGGGACGGGTGGCACTCAGCGGGCCAGATCAGGGTCGGGGAAGGTAGGTGTCAGTATGCGCAGCGTCAGGGAGATTGGGGAGGCAGCCAGCGGGCGAACAGAGCACCAGGCAGGCAGACCCTGGCGGACAGACTTGGCGGACTCAGCTCCTTTCTGAGACGGACACTGGAATCAGCTTAAGTCGGATCTCGGAGCAGCGCGCGGAAGACGGAAAGGAAGAGATCACTAAGCCTCGCGTCCCGGCACGACGACTCCGCCTGCCGCGGTGGCGGTGATGAGCCGCGACACGGAGCGGCGTGGGGCACGTGCGGGGGCAGGAGCCGAGCGAGGTGGGCTTGCGGGCCGGCACGGTACGACTGACCCAGCCGGCGAAGGCGCGGCTGACCCAGCCGCCCGCAGGCAAACATCCGCCGCCGGTCAGCAGGCCGAGTTTCTTCCCAGGCCCGGCCGCTGGGTCACCGGGTGTTGCCGCTGCTGAGCAGGCGGGACCCGAGGCCGCCGCCGTCCTCGGCCGACGACAGCCCAGAGGCGGGGCCAGCGCATCTGACGCTGGGGGCTGAAGGCGGGGCCGACGAAAAGGAATAAGACCTCAGGAATCCAGGCAGTGTCTCCGTTCTAACTTCCCCCACGATTTCCTTGGTAATAAGTGAGGTCATGCCCATTGTCCCAAGTTCCATAACGGAAAGCGCCCGTGTTTTCGACAAGATACGTGTTGTGCAAGCATGACCCCGAAAGGAGACCCTGGTTAGTCCAGCACGAATACTCGTGTCCCATTTCACACTTGCCTGTCCCCCGCCCATAGCCCATAACCTGCAGGCGTTCTAGTCTCTGACAGCCCTGCAATGCACACTGCACACTCGCAGAGCACGATTGTCACGACAGCTCTGGAGCAGCACATACCGGAATCACAAGCGACTCGCCGGCATAAACACACAGCTGTCGGTCCGTGCTGGAGAAAGACAGATAACGCCGCAAAAACTGCGAAACGGCCCCGTCACATGCTCCCAGTCCGACTTGACAAAACGCAGCGACCGGCGCTCGTCGCTGTCGCCGAGCAGTGTCCGCGGCCGCAAGAAATCGGCCGTGTCCGCCACCGGCGGGTGACTCACGGGACTCACGCGGTCCGGGCGCCCGCTCCTGCCCGACCCCGTTCGTGACACAGCCAATGACGGCCGAGCGGGACGGCTCGGGTCAGCGGTCGGCGATTTCACGGCGCCGCCAGCTGGCGCCCCGTCGTGGGCGAAACAAAGGAGTCGGTGGTGGACACGGGCGGAACGCGTCCTGCCGCCCAATGGAGTCACGAGGGGCGAGTCGCTGCGCTGAACACACCGATGACTGGCGGCTGGCTGATGCCGCCGGCGACCGAGCGCACACGTTCGGTGGCGGGTCCGGGATAATTATCCGATTCGCAAACGCACGAACTAGTTTTCGGTGCCCAACAGTTCCATCAGCGCATAACTGTGAGAGCATCGCTCGCAGCAGCGTTAGGGTCGGGTCGGATCAGGTCAGCGCGCGCACTAAGCGCCCATCTGTTCGTGAACCGGCGGGCGCGTCGCCAGCTGTTTGCGGGAGCGGGTTGGGTTTGCACAGCGGCGGGACGGTACCAGCTGCCCCTGACACGGGCACGACTGGCACGGCTGCAGTTGACCGCAACTCTCAGCGACGCTCTCGACTTTCTCGCGGCGTGCGCGGCGCGGCTGGCGACCTCAGCTGACCTTGCGCCGCCCCTCGCCGCCGATACAATCGCCTGCGTCGTCGCCCGCCGCCGGCGGACCTTCGTTACCGGCGCGCGCGGGGCGCGTCACCTTCGTCGCCGGCGCGCCGGCTCCGTGGCGCGCCTCGTTAGCGGCGAATGTGCCGCGATAGGCGCGAGATTGGCGCGGCAGGCGCCGGGATGGCGTGAGACGCGGACGCGCCGGGATCGTCGCGGGATTTTACCGCCGATACGGGCCGTTTAAGACCGTCCGCTGACGGGCCATGATCTCCATGGCGCCCCTAAAGGCCCGGCGACAACAACAGCCCAGCGGTGAAAAACAGAGCGGCTTTATCGTAGTAACAGGAGACGCATGCTAATTGGACGGTATTGGACAGATGCGGCTGATCACGGACCACAGATGGGGCGATGGGTTCGCCGCTCGCGCTATCGGTCCCCGGGCGTTAAACGGCTGTCCCGTCAGCACCCGCGCGGATCTGAACCGCGCCGTCCGCTCGAGCCCGACACACTCCGTCGAGAGTCACTCCGACACACTCCGCCGAGAGTCACGCGTCTGCTATCAGCCGGCTGTCAGTATGCCGCGTATGCGAGCTCAAAGCGCCGTCAACGCTAATCAGTGCCTTGCAGAACAAAGCTGGACTTTGTGCGGCGCTTCGAGAGATTAGATTCTGGATCTGGTGCACACGAGAGTGCATCGGATTCTGCCCGTTTTCACAGAAGCGATGTGAAATCCGGGCCACCCCGGGCCCTCGTCGAGACGCGTGTGTCGCACCCACCGCGACCCAAGGTAAACACTTTCACGTCTGTGTCCCATGTTGACAATCTTGACGGCTGTCAGTCAGATCATTTTTCAGTCGGAGGTGGTCTCCAGGTTATCAGCCGTCTATCGTTCCATCGCCTCGTCCAATCCCTGACGTCCGTGACATATCTCGCGACCAATCGATCAAACCGCACCGCACCTACAACGGAACTCGATGCCCGCCGCCCAGTAAGCCGAACACCACCCCGAAATCTGCCACCGTTAGCGCGTTTGGCCCGCCTGCCCGAGGATCAGCTGACCGCAGATCCCGGTCACCGAGCACCCTTGGCGTCCCACGACAGTAGCAGTTCGTTCCCACGCCCCGACCGCCTGGGGTACGCCGCACGCCGCCGTCGCAACATCACAGCTGCCGCCAAACCACGCCAAGGCCGGCCCACACCCAGACGCGTCAAAACCTGCCCAGACCCAGCCGGCCATGGGTGAGTAACGCGCTGCAGGCGGCGGCGGCGGCTCGCGGCGCGCGCCCCCACTGCCCGCCGCGCCGCGCGCCCCGCCCGCACAGGAGCACGGCTCACGGCGGTCGGCGTGCGCCGTGCAGCGCGCGTGCGGGCCTCAGCGTCGTGCCGCGCCGGCCTGACGGCGGCGTGTTTGCCGCCTGTCGGGCCCAGCGCGACCTCGGCAGGCCGGGGGAGCGAGCGAAGCCCGCCTCGGGGCGCCGGAGGTGGCCAGCGCCGCCGTTCCCGGGGGTGACGGCCTGCTCCGCGCGCGGCAGGTGGCGGCGGGGCGGGTGAGGGGGCCGGGGCAGCGGGGCCGCGACCGAGCGGCGGGTGCAGTCACGAGCCCGCCGCCCGGTCCGCAGCGCTGGTCGGGACGACCTGACGCTGGCGCCCAGGAACCGCGGAACAGAGGTGCCGTTCTCTGG